GGGGAGAGATTTAAAATATTGAGCATATTTGGGTCGAAGAGGGAAATCTGAGAGAACATTACCTGGAAGAGATAAAAAGGGACCATGTGCGTATGTCGAGGGTCAGGGTTTGTGGTGAACAAGCCTGGCTCACATCCTGGCCCCCCACTTCCTCCTGACCTTGGGCCAGCTATGGGCCTTCTTTCAGCCTCTGTCTCCTCGAGTAAAACACAGCAATTCGAGGGTTCTGTAGGAGAAGCCGATTGGGGCATGAGAGGTGCTTGGTGCAGGGATGCTGTGGTGACGGGATGGTGGTGGTAGTGACGGTTGTGAATTGAAATTCCAGTTTGCCCAGTGGCCGTTGAGGTGGAGGTGTCCCCACCTACCGCAGACACAAGGATTAAGCAGGGGTGGAGGCAGCCCCATGCTGTCCTGAGCCCTCTGTGAGCCTGGCCATGCTAGAGCGGTGGTAGAGGGGAGAGGGCTAAGCAACCTCAGGCAGCCATTCTGGTTTCTCTCCAGAGATGTTCTCTGAGAGCCAACACCTCTCCCTGCACTGAAAACCTGCGGTTAAGTGCAGGTGAGTGTGATATAAAAACCATGTAGACTTTTAGGTGTGTTGACCGCAATATGGTGCAATGTGGGGGAGGATATTTACTTAAACAGTGGCTAAATTTTCTTCAGTCAGAGGAGAAGGTGCATTGGAAAGACCATGGTCTAATTGTTAAAGGATGCTTTAGGTGAAAGAGTGCAAAAGGCAGTTTTGTGCTTGTTGCTTATATGTAAGGCAACTTTCAAAAGTGCCGTGACTTCTAATCTTAAGTTTTTTCTGTAGAAATATTTTTTAAATTCATATTTTCTTTTCCTTCTGGGTCTTTATCAGGCTTATCTGAAGTTATTCCTGAAGCATGCAACACTGTCCCCTTTTCTGGTGATCTTGAGCAAATAGACATCACTTGCTGGGAGAGGTGTGAACAATGGCTGTAAAGGCAGCCAGCACTTCGTTTAGGACAGCTCTTCAGCATTTTCCCGGTGGGGACAGTGTCCGTGTGTTAGCCATTCTGTCCTTGTCTTTCCTGTTGTGTACAGAAGTGTGCAACAGAAGGCAGGCACCCAGGCAGCAGGGAACGAGGGGGTTTTGAGGCCAAGAGAACTGGGCTTCTCCCACACCTTCACTGCCAACCTGGTTTTAATCATGAGCTCAGTTTACTGATCTGCAAAATGGGTTAGAAAATTGCAGGTTGTTATGAAGAGTAAATGAGGTGATGACTATATGTGAAGCAACTAGTGTGTGGTGGGTACTCAGTGAATGGTGACCTGTCTCCTGTAGTCATTGCCTCTAGGATTGTAAATAATGCTGTAGATTCATCAAACAGCACTGTATGGACGGCCTCTCTCAAATTAGCAGTGCAGGGACACATCCCAGAGGTAGGGCTTGGGGAGCAATTTTTGCTGATTCCCAAGCCTGCCACTTTTAAAACACAAATTACTTATATTAATAACACTAAAGTAAAAATGATAGTAACTAGTAGATATGGTTATATCTTTATCCACTTTTAACTTTTAAACCTCTATATACTTGTATAACCCCAAGCTACTCACTCATTCATTAATTCATTCATTCATTCCACAGTTTGTACTTGAGTCATTCTACAGATCAGGTCAGGTCAGAAGACAGGCAGTGAACAAGACAGGCATTGTTTTGCTTCTCATGAAACTCCTATTTTAGGAGAAAGAAAATCAAGCAATAAAAACAAAACAAACAAAAATACCGAAGCTGTCAGTGCCCTGCAAAAATAAAACCTGATGCTGTGAAAGGGATGCTAAGCGTCAGGAGGAGACTGTTGGGGGAGTGGGGGAGGGGGAGCTAATTTAGGCTGAGATGGTCGGGAAGTCCTCTCTGCCTTGACCTTTGAGCTGACAGTTGAACACTAAGAAGAGGCCACATGGGAGGATTTGGGGAAGAACACCCCAGGGAGGGGTTGTACCTAGTGCAAAGTCTTCCCAGTGGGAGGGGCTTGAGATGTTTAAGGAGATGGGGGCAACAGGGGCCACAAGGAGAGGGTAGAAGAGGAGAGCCAAGAGCTGGATGGAAGCTGAGAAGGCTTACCCCGGCTGCTGGGAAGTCAACAGAGATAGGGAGGGGAGAGCACAGGAGGACAGGCTGGTTGCAGGCAGGAAAGGAAGGTAGTGTGTGCTACGGGGCGAGTAGGCAGAGGAGGACAGTCCGTAGTCATGATATCTGGCCAAAGCCGAACTGATGGGACAGTCTTCTGGATCGCATATGTGGATCAGACAGAGTTCAAGAGCAGGCTGAAATTCCTAGTGGGCCTGGCGTTTTCTATGTTCTCTCTCTCTCTCTCTCTCTCTCTCTCTCTCTCTCTCTCTCTCTCTCTTGTTTTGAGCACTAATTTATGTCAAGTGTGTTATGCGCATTATCTCATTTCCATTCAGCCCACTTTACAGATAAAGCACTGAGCCTCCAGAGCATGTCCCTTGTCAAAGCCCCACACTAGTCAAGCAGAGCCAGCATCAGCTCAGTTCCCTTGTCTGTGGGCTTAACTGCCATTTAGCCTTTCCATAAAAGTTTGACCTTACAACATCCTGTGATAAATTTGGCTCTCTGGGCTGACAAGGAAGATCCTGACTCATCATGTTTTATAGCCTAAACTGAGCTAGGCCCTATGGGAACTTTCATCCTAGTCCAGGTCAAGCCCCATTCTTAAGGCTCATCCCACACCAAAAAGAAAGCAGATGTGTGTTATCAGACCCAGCTGTGGGGGTTGAGATGAGTTCTATTATGTGAGAATGGTAGAGAGCTTGGAAATTGGAAATTGTAATGAATCGAATTGGCGATGAACTGAAAGCTGGTGATGGATCGTGCAGGAGGGAAGCCCATCGTGCCCACTTGGAGGGGTGTGGTTCAGTTGTGTTCAAAGGGGACTGGGAACCAGGAAACATCTAGCTTTGACCGTCCCATCACCCCAGATGACGGGCGCAGGAAACAGCAGAGTCACCCTTACTGCTTAGCACTGCCAACCAAGAAGTACTGGACAGCAGTGGGACACCCTTGGAGCCCCAAGAGGAAGCCAGAGCCACCAAGCACCAGGCCCTAAAAATCAGTCTCTAGACAACCATGAGGGCTCAGGTACTCTGCAGAGTGGACAGTGGCTATCCTAGCACCTCCCTTCTCCCTCCAGGCTGAGGCTCAGACCCAGAAGGCATGAGTCACCCCAGCATGGAGATCAGTCACAGCTCTGTCTCTTCCTAGATGTGTGACTTTGCACATGTTTCCTGACCTTTCTGACTCCCAGTTTAATCACACGGGAGCTGGCATTCAGTACTTAGTTCACATAACAGCCATATGGATCCTAAATGTACTGAGAACCTACTATGTGCCAAGACACTTTACAAAGCAATATCACTACATAGTTTTTAACACTTTCAAATTAGGTTCCTGCCTTCAGACTGTGTGTATGGATTATATTGACTATAGGCTAGGCATTTTACAGACATTATAAGTGATTCTCATAACCACATGATGCACTGATTTTCATCTCCACTGGACAGATATGGCAACATAGGCTCAGAGAGGCCAAGTAGCTTGTCCAGAGTCACACAGACTCGAAGTACGGGCTCCTACCTTTCTCCATTATACTTGTTATGGAAATAGGGACATGATACATGTGTTCTACTGTGTTCCATGAAGAGTCCCAGGTTGCAAGGCCCAGCCCAGCCTCAGACTTAACCACTTGTTAGTGGGTTCCAGTGTTCAGGATAGCTTGTGAAAGGGGCTTGCCTCCAGATTTCTCAAAAGATGGATTGTACTCCAAAGCCCACCACAGTCAGCAGTAATCAACTGAGCTCTGCGGAAGTTACCTTACCAGGCTCAAGCCTCCTGAGTGGACTGGTATCCACACTGCAGTTTCCTTAGAGGGGTAACTGGTTGTGGGATAGAAGCAGTTTAAACACTAGTCTTTCCCTGCTTGTGGAACCACAAAATGCTCAAGGAGACTCAGACTTTGGAAAAAGAATTGGGCATCACTCCAAAGCCCCATGGACTCGCACCCTATCCTTCCCAAGCTTGCCCACAGCCGGTACCTGAGAACAACTGCTGGGTCCTCAGCTAGCTGTCCTTCCAGCCCAGGGCTCAGGGCCAGCTTTCTCCTCTCCTAAATAATAAATTATCTTGCAACTGGGTTTGTAAATAAGGCACCCTGGAGAACCAGCATTTCCAAAGTTGCTTACTCATAGGAGGAGAGAAAAAAGCAGAGTTTGAAGTAGTTGTTGTTTGGCAAAGTTAATCTATACATGCAGGGCCACCACCACAGAAAAACTTACCCTGTTAGTTTCAATTCTTCCTCCTCAACTGTGAAACTTTGTCACCAGGCAACAGGAGACTCACCTGGAGTTAATTAGTATAGTCTTGCCGGCCAGCCTGCAAGGTGAAATAATTAGGTGGCTGAAAGGGTCTCCAGGACACCCAAACTTCCCAGCAGGTGGGATTTCCTCTGCAGGGCAAGATTCTTGCAGTGGGGTTACTCCTGCCCCCGCCCCACAGGGAGGTTTAGAGCACCAAGCAGAGCGCTTTCCATGGCGACAGCCGGAAGTGGACGTTGCTAACTGAGGGGAAAAAGCCTCATTTGCTTCTCTTGAGGGACAAATATCTTACTTCTATAGCATTGAATCCCATGAAATATCATTCCACTTCCTTGTAATTTGTCCAAATAGTTTTTTCTGCTCTTTGTTTTTTGAGAATGCTGTCTTTTATCTGTTTATTTTTTTTAACTTAATTATTTCTTACAGTTTTCTCTTTCATCCTTTTTACATTATTAAATCAGACTGAGTGTAATGCTCATAAAATCATACAACATTATAACCGTTTTTTCTCAGTTAATATTGTGTCAGTACTGATAGGTAGTTTCTGGAATCTATATTTTGAATGAATGCATGATACTGAATCTGGTGGACTTTGCTGTCTCTGTTATTTCCAATTTGTCACTACCATGAATAAGGGTGCAATGAATATATTTGTGCATGTATAGTCATTTTGTTCATATTTTTTCTTTAAATTAAATTCCTAGAAATTGAGAAAATGGGCAAAAAAGATAAATATTAAAATTATTATGCAAATGAAATAATATTGTAGAAAAATTAGAAATGCATCTCCACAAATAAATAAATAAAAATACTTTAAATTGCACTACCCAGATAGAATTAGGAAATAAATAAAATAATTAGCAAATAAGTCATTTGATATGCAAAATTAATCCAAGCAATAAAAACTTTGGAAAGTACAAAAAAGCAAAATGAAATAGTTTAAATTAAAAAATAAAAATATAATAAAGCATTAAATTAGAAATACAGTTAATAATAAAATTTTGAATGCATGAGTTTTAAATACATGAAAAAAATTATACACATGCCTTTCTTTAATCCACAACTAAAATAAAATAGATCATTTAATTTAGACAATAAGTGAATTTAAAATAATTGGCAAATGAAGATAAGTAGAAAATTTTAAATTACCTGAAATCCTATTACCTAGTGTATTTCTAATTAGAATATTCATAAAAGTACATAATGTAAATTAGAAAATAAATAATATGAAAACCATAAAACACAGATAAATAAAAATAAAATCAATATTTTGAGAGAGACAATATATAAGAAGATAAATGCGTTTTAAAATGCAGATATGTAAAACCTTATAAAAAATTAAAGCCACTCAATTTCAGCCTCTGGAGTTAACTTCCAGACTTTCAATACATGTACGGTATTGTTTATGGCATAGGTATGCAATAATAATTTGGTTACTTTGCTAATGCTCATTTTTAAACTCCAAATATACACAAATTACTAGTCTGCTTCTAATCCAGCCAGAACTAAGATTTTTGTTGTTGTCGCTTTTTGTTTGCTTTTCCCCCTCAGAGGAAAGAGCTTGTCTGTGGAGTTGGGCCCTGGGTCAAGGTTTGGTCCCCGCAGGTGCTCTGCACAGGCTGCTTGTGTTGGGAGTTCACCGGTACCTGCTCTGTGCCAGGCCAACTGTCCCAAACTCCCCTAGTCTACGCATCACTCCCTCACCCCACGCTTCCATTTCCTCATCTGTAAATAGAGAGAATGGCTTTGTGAAAATTAGACAAGATACAAAAGGTCTTTGCAGTCTGTGATGCATTAGACAATTATTGCTACTATTATGTCTAGAACTGTATGCAAAATTTCTACATGTTAGAGAAATGAAGAAAGTCAGGAAGTTCTAACAGAAAGGGTCAATATCCTGTTAATACAAGATAAAATCTTTGGTTTGCAAAAACGTCTGTCTCTTCATGAATTTTTTTACCTATAACCTAGATCTGCAAACTAGGCTAACCCAAATTTGCTTTTGAGGAGAAGAAAAGGAGAGAGGGTGTGTTTCTATGACCAGTCTCTTGGCTCCTCGTGGAAAACTCTGCTTATGCAACGGACTGCCTCCCCAGCATTTAGCACCTATGCTCCTTGTCCTGGAGCCTCACGCAGGTGAAAAGCGGGGCAAGATTCCAGCAGACACTTACCCTGTCCTGGGACAGAGCCCAAACCCATTAGCAGACATGCGTTTCCAGTTTCCTTAGACAAATTACTTTTCTTCTCATGTGGTTTAAGTTTTCTTGACTTCTCTCAGTTCCTCCCTCACTAACCCATTTCACTGTGTCCTCATCGCTGTCTCACAAACAAGAAACACACTGAAGAATTTTGAGAGGAGGCAGACTTTTCAAATGTGTCCACTTTAGCTCAGGATCCCCAGTTTCCCTGTGGGTCATACTTAGATGTCTGTGGTTGTTTTCTTGGTACCTAAGGACTAGCCCTAGCCCCCTAGTCCCAGAGTTAAGGAGGAGGATGAAACAGAGACCCCAAATCCCATCTCTTCCTGGGCTGAGAGGGTACAGCTTCCAACTAGACGAGTCCCTTGGCAGAGACCCTTTAGCCTGGGCTAGTCCGCTTTCTCTGCTGTCCAGGCTTCTTTGCTAAGCTCTCTAGGGAGGAAGTGATTTTCTGGGCCATGCCTCTAGCTATCTCTGGGGGCCAGGCTCATGGTGGAATAGAGTTGTGAGTCAGGTGGAGCTGGTCGAAGGGGCGGAGTCAGTGGCAAGATGGGGAGACAAACCATGGGCACTGGAGTAGGATGGGCCCCCAGGGCCATGTGACAGCATTACTTGAGCTACTAAAGCACTTTTAGGGCCTGAAGGACATAGAACTAATTAAAAATGAAGCAGCATGAGTAAAAATCATCCCTCAAACTAAGGAAGGATTTGAACCCAGTGTACTGTTGACTAAGTTCTGATTGAAGATAGTGTTCCCATCTGTGGAAGTCACCCAGAGGAGTTTAGACACCTGTCTTGGGGTGGGAGTAGAGTTGATTAGATGTCCTCTGGGCCCATCAGCTAGGCCACCTTCAGGTCAGGCAGAGCAGCCTCCCTAGTCCTCACCGACTTTTAGTTCTCCCATTCTTCTCAGCTCCAGCCCAGATTGCCTGAGGGCCTGGACTCTTGCCCTGTAGACTCCATAGTAAACCCTGAGGAGCTCCTCACACTTGTTGGCTGTTGGGCCGATGGAGCAGGTGATCTGCTTCACAGGTAGCACAATTATTCTAAAATCATACAGAAACCTATGAGGTAGGGCTTGATGAGAAGTAAGTCCTGGTTCTTATACCACACTCTTCTTCCACTCACAGTAGGAAAGCATCGGCCCTACTCTGGAACAGCATCAACACCCTCCAGGACTGTTTTCATCCATGGGCCCTGTGCCCACACTGTGCTTACCTTTTCCAGACCCACGATCGCACTTACCCCATCCCCAGCACTCCAGTGTGACAGTTGTGGTCAGCCATGTTTGAAGGATGAGGTGACAGCACTTCAGAGCAGTCAAGCAGTGGAGGCAGGATTTGGACCCAGGTTCTACTGACTCCAAAGTCAATGTTCTTTCCTATGCTGCCTTCCCCAGACCACAGAAGGGCTTTGCAAAGTCAAGAGCCATCTCTGGTGCCTTGTTTAATCTAAAATTTCTACTATATTGATGAAACTGCTGTTTATCAACTCTTAAAGACATACTTACTAGATAGTTACTAAATTCACATAAACCATTCCAAGAGTTCTGTGATAACCTTCAGATTAATATGATTTTTTAAAATTGGAAAAATAGAGTTCACCTTTGGTTAGGTGTCTTGGTACTGCTGGTAATGGTGTCCTTTTCTGATGGTAACAAAGTGATGGATCTTCCTTGGAGCTCATAGCTGATGAAGTGAGGAATAGAATGGCAAAATGCCTTTATTTTCCACACAACATTCCACCTGGTGGCAGTGTCACAAAGGCCACAGGTAAAATTCTAGAACCCTTTCTGAAAAGGAAAATGATAGATGCTGTCTCTCAGTTCCTGGACCCTAACAGGCATATTTTGCTCTGCTATTTTCAAACCATTGTCAAACTTCTAAAATAAAGTAGCAAGATGAGCAGTTGGTTTTTGGTACATCAACTCCACATCCTGTATCTCTCAGCCCTACATTTTCAGGAAGACTCAGCCCACGTTCTTTTCAAGGGGGTGATTCCCACTGTCTCCAGTCTCAGCTCTTCCCTTGTTTACAGCCTCCAAAACAGCCTGCCTTCCAGAATGGGGTAGGTAGCAGGCTCATAGACAGAGCAGGAGAACTGAATCTTCACTTAAGCCTTTGCAAACTAAGGCAACAAACAAACAAACAAAAAACATGTTTTGCCTCCATTTGTTGTAATTTGTATGGATAAAATGGACCAAATAGATAATTTCAGTATTAGATGGAAGAGGTGAATCCTGCCCTGGGAGTTGCTTTCTGTTTTTAGAAAATCTGCCAAGGAAAGAATTGAATGAGGAGAGATGGGGAGCTTAGGACAGATGATGTGACAGCGGTGCTGTGACAGGGAGATGAGGCGCTGCCCCTGCTGGGGCACTGGGCACCCAGGCCTTGTGTAGGTAGAGGCCTAACAGATCCTGGCCTTGTCCATGTGGGTGGAACATAGAATGCATGCAGGGGTGGGGACTATGGGGGCCGGAACAGCACTGAAGCAGAGGAGACATGTTTGGTTTGGTTTGGTAGAACATCTGAGCAAAGACCTGGTCTTGGGAGTAGAAACAGTCTCAAGGAGACAAAGGGGAAAGAAACAACAGACAAAGGAGCTCAGGGGTACCACAGATGCCAAGGAACTAGCTCTCCAAATCCTTGCTGAGCAGGAGGAGGACTTCACATGGAGAAGTCCCTTCCCCATGCCCTCCCCAACACTGCATCTTGGTACACTTCTAAATCTTCCCTTCCAGATTCATCAAAGGTGGTATTTCTTTTGTTCTGTTTGTATTTCTTATTTGTATTGGTGGAAACATAAAACAGTACAGCCTTTTAAGTGGATAATTTGGCAATACACAGCAAACTTGAAAATGCTCAGATGTTTTATCTCAGTGGTACCCCTGCCAGAAACTTATCTCATCGAGACACTCACAAAGCATCCAGAAATTTATGTCTGAAGGTGGCCACGGAAACATGATTTGTGAGGACAAAGCCCATCACAGGGGCAGACTCACCCAGTCCCAGTCCAGCTGTGCAGTGGTCCTGCCACTGGAGAAGCGAATGCCACAGAGCATGATGAGCATGCACCACGTGCTGTTAGTCTGTGAAGCAGAGTGGATGCCTGCACACATGAGACAATCCTATTTACTATCATTTAAAAAAAAACTACTTGAGCATATAGACAGTCATATGGGGAAAACGCTTCTTGAAACTTAACTGTGGATACTTCTTGAGTGGGAGCAGTAGTTTGGAAACATATTTTCTTAATTTTCCGTATTGTTTGCATTTTTTAACCACATACATATATTCTACACACTTGTCAATCTATTATATTCACATGTATTATATTCACAAGGGCAAATAAGGCCGAGGTGTGTCTGTGGGAAATCCATGTGGGGTGGGAGGCCCCCGAGTCTGCTTCTGCACGTCCGTGAGATGCTGCATGGGCCACATTTAAGGCAGCAGCATATTCCGGCATCACATAACTGTGACAGTGATTGCAAAAACCTGACCTTCAATGGGGTGAGGTAGGGACAAGAAGGGATCGGATAATAGTCTTGTCACCCAGGAGAGTTACTAAGTGCCCTGGAAGTCTGTGGCTCTCCTGGATGCCCAGACCCCACAAAGCCCCAGAAAGTCCCACCTCTCCCCTTGCTCATGCCTTGAGATATTTGGTCACCACCATTATTTTCTTTCCCACAGGAGATACCCCAGCTCCGACAGGACCATGCTGCAGAGGTGGCAGGTACAGTGATCCCCTCAGAGGACTCGGAGTCTGAGGAAACTCTCTGGAAATGCAAATCAGAAAACAGTTCAGGCCCCAGTGATGAAGAGAGAAAGCATGTGGATGAATCAGGAGGGATCTTGTCTTTTTAACTTAAAAAAATGTCCCAAATAATTTCTTGAAAAGATCTCAGTAATTCAAGGTGATTCTTGAGCCTTAGAGTTGGAGCTGGGTAGTGTGTGTGTGTGTGTGTGTGTGTGTGTGTGTGTGTGTACACATGCCCTGTGTACACACACATGTTCTGTCCATTAAGATGTATACATATGTAAATGGACATAAGCACCCACTTCTTGCCCTGGGAAGACACAGAGCTCCCAGCCTGGATGACTGGCTTTCAGCCTAGGGTTCTCTGTGACCCCAAGAGGGCCAGTCCTAGAGATCACATGGCAACAAGAAAGTAAATCTTGGTCACGCAGGAGCAGGCCAAGAGAGGAGAGACCACAGCATTAGGTCCCATGTCATCTCTGGTGGCCCAGGCTGGGCGTTCCCCAGCTACCCTTGGTGAACTTTCCCACATGCAGTCCTTATCTCCACCTGAGACTATACATCTTAAGGCCCTAAGAGTGAGTGTTTTCTCAAAGTCAGGGACAGGAAAAGAAAGTTCCTGAAGTCCCATGGACAGATCATTCAGCCCGCTCATGGTGGCCTCTTTCTCTGAGACTGCCAAGTCCCCTCAACTTCTTTTTTTAACCTTAACGAGATCAGCAGCAAGTCCATCCACAGCATTTGTGCTATTATTTTAACCAACATTTGAGTAGCATACCCAATAGTTAACACAAAAGAAGGCTTATCCTGGCTTTGGGCTGCTGGGCTGTATTTTTTTTTTTCTGGCTAGCTTTGCTTCCAGACTCTTTGCTTCAGTTCATATTGAATGAGTTGTCCTCCCAGAGTTGGTCTAGCTCATGTACAAGGTACACAGGGAACAATGGGCGTGTGTACCACCTGCTCTCACCTAAACAGTGAAGGTCTCCTGCAGGGGGCTGAGAGTTAGACCCTGGGAGCCCTCAGGAAAATGCCAGCTGTGTTTTGTTTATTCCTTCTTTGTCTCTTCTGGCAGAAAAGGGACATCAGCAATTTCGAGTATCTCATGTACCTCAACACCCTGGCTGGAAGGACCTATAATGACTACATGCAGTATCCAGTGTTTCCCTGGGTCCTGGCTGACTACACCTCACAGGTACCAGTGTTCACATGGAAGAGCAGGTGTCCTGAGGCTTTCTGAGCTTGACAATCAGAGCACCCTAAATCAGCACACAGAGCCTCTGTTACGAGCTTCGGTCCCTCTGGGCCGAGGCTGCTCCATGCTCGGCCCCTTGCTCTGGAGGAGGCCTCTGAGTCCAGCTGCCTGGGTTCCTGTCCAGCCCCACCTGTGGGAAGGTAGCCCTACCAGTGCAATTATCAACATGACTAGGACAACTGCTAACATGCACCCCAGAGGGCTTCCTGGCTTACTTACTACAATGAAGGCAACTAATACCCATCTGCTGAGATAATGCCCTGGGCCAACACTGGTCCTCAAAGTGAACTGGGTTATGGGATTTGTTCCCAGAATCAGCATGTGTGTTGGGAGTGGGGGTGGTGGAGGGGAGGAAAGGTGAGAATAAGAGAGAGAAAAGAGAGAGAAACCAGAGACAGAGACCCAAAGAGAATGGACTACTCCCCTGCAGCCCAACTTCAGTAACTGAGATGATGGCCTGTGCATTGTAGCCAGTATCTGGACCGAGACATGGAGCCATAGGGCAGGTTGAAGGCAAGACCAGACAATTCAGTTTTTTGGCTTCTGTTCCTGGACCTCAGCAGGCGGGGGAGGGAGGAGGAGGAAAGCTGACACAGCTGGACAAAGTTGATGTCATGCAGGGAAGATAGGGCTATGAGGCAGTGTCCCTGGGCTCTGGCTGTCAGGAGGCATGTGGGGTTGCATGTGTAAAGAGCAGAAGGTGACTGGTTCAAGTCAGTCCTACCTCGGGCTGCTGGGATGGCTGACCCTCAGGATTTGGGAGAGAGGGTCTCAGTTTTTTGTGACCTCCTGTCCCTACTTAAGACATTTAACACAGAAAGACTTTTCTTGCCAGCCACATGCTGCTTCTTATTGCGCTAGTGATCATCTGAGGCAGAGATCATCTGAAACTTGAAAAAGCCAACTTTAACCTACATTTCACAAATTGCTGGTTTGCCAGCCCCTTTTGTTTAGCCCCCAATTTTGATTACTTCAGCATTTAAAAACTGGGAGATTTGTCCCCCAAATCTGGATTTCCAATATCTTCAGAAGAATCAGGAGATCTGACATCTATGAAGCCCCGTTATGGTCTGGCAGAACAGGCATGGCTGAAGGGGGTCCCCACATGTGCGACATTTAGAGGTTGTAGGAGACCCTGCTGCCTCCTCACCCCTACCTGGCTTCTGCAGTTGTTCTACAGTGACAGGCCCTGCCTCCCCCGGGAACTGCAGTGTTCACTGCTAATGAAAAGGAAACTCCTTTTTCTGTAAAGACGCAAACCCCGGGGAACACGTAGCTCCTCCACTAACACGCAGAACATCTCCGTGAAAGACAACATTGAGGACTTCCAACATTGAAAACCCTTCAGGACTCCACTGTTATGTTTTCCTAAGGGCAGGGGAAGGGGTGACATTCCATGCTTGCATTGCCCAGAAGGGAGTGGGCCTTCCGAGAAACGAGGCTGACCCTCTCCATTCCTCCCCAAACAGATGACTTCTCACTTCCTAGAAAATCAGTTTCTTTCTGAACGAGGACCCTGAACTATTGATGCCAACTGCCCCAGGAGGGCAGTGCCAAGTGCCGTATAGACAACAGGAATTCATTTGAAAGTCTCTTTTCAGTAATTGGCGGTGATGTTCTGATTTGGGTCAACTTGGAACAGGTTCAGTGTGAACTCAATCTTCCCTTCCTCTCATTTTCCACCTCCCTCCTATTAAGTCTGTGGATCGCCATAAAACCCCAGCACGCCTACTAATCACCAGAGGGGGTCTGACCAAACGACAGTAAACCAATAAAGAGAACCATAAAACTAAAGAGCGTGGCTCCTGAAGTCTTGCCGGGGCACACACAGGTCTAGGGGAGTTAATTCCAGCTGTACATCTGTCTTCTAGACATTGAACTTGACGAATCCCAAGACTTTCCGGGATCTTTCAAAGCCCATGGGAGCCCAGACTAAGGAAAGAAAGCTGAAATTTATCCAGAGATTTAAAGAAGTCGAGAAGACTGAAGGTGGGTGCATCCCAGCTTGATTTTTTTCTGCAGTGCTCTTCATCTGAATGCCTCAAAATCATAGCTGATAACTATTTAGGCCATTGTCTAGCCTACAAATAATTGCACTTGAATAAAGAACTCTCTAATCCAGTGCCCTGCACCCTGGCTGCATGTAAGAATCACCTGGAGAGCTCTTAAAAGATACTGATGTCCAGGCCCCATCTCTAAAAATTCTGATTTAAATATGTCTGTGATGAGGTGCAGCCAGGTGATTCCAGCCTGCAGGCAGGACTGAGAAGTGCCATGCTAAGAGCTCATATCTCCATGCTTAGGGGCAGAAAAGGCAGAGGGAAGTAATATCTGTTCAGTGCTTTCTATAGTCTACGCTCAGACCAACCTGCGTTCATATATACAATAGTTCGTTTCAAAGAAAAGGACATTGAAACTCAGAGTTCAAGCAACTCATTTGAGATCATAGCCTCTAAATGGCAGAGCCTGCATTTAACTCTAGAACCTGGTTCCCAAACTTTGTCCGTCAGCACATTACCTTTATAAATTTTGCCCATTCACATGCCACCTGTCCTCTTATTGCCTTAATGTTTTTCTTTAGGTCTATTTACTTCTTAAACTTTAATAAATACATTCTTAAAATAAATTTTTCTATCATGCATTTGATGCTAGCTGTATTGGTCTTCTTAAACACTTTGAAATAAACATACAGTTATTAAGGGACATCATCCATGAACCATGAAAAAATCCCTCTAGAACCAGTAGGTGCACGCTTCAGGAAGGCTCATGGGTCAGGAGGCCCTGCCTTTTGTGAGCAGGTTCTTGGCAGGATATGGAGGTTTCTGCAGTATCCCACACAGCCCCTGGAGGCCACCTGGCCTCTGGCCAGGACCCTCCTCTGCGTGGGGCTGGCACTCAAACTTGTGGGGAGATGGGAGGAGGTAGGAGGTATGGGCAGGCCTTCCTTGTCCTGCTATCTCCTCCTGAGGCTAAAGTTTAATTGATATGACCCCTCTCAGTCCTCTGCTGCTCCTCTGGCTGCCAGGCATTGCTGGGTCCCTTTCACAGAGGCAGGCCAGAGGAGCATCAGATCTCACCAGCTATGCCCCTGCCAGGGACCATTTTGGCACCATTCTACCCAATCTTAACCTGAGTGTACATTAGAGTTGCACCTTGAGTTTGGGCTCTTGCACAAGTATATCCACCCATGTCACAAACTACTGATGTAGGTAGCTTCTGCACAACACAAGGGAGGGCTTCAGGCTGAGTGTGGGGCTGGCAGCGAGCTGGCTAAGGAGGCATTTGGAGCAGCTGGCTTTGGCCTCTGCTGACTGTGCTGCCTGCCAGCTCTGCCACTCACTCTTGATATAAGCGAGTCTGATTCATTCTGTCTTCTTCATTGGAGATCGGGATAATGAACAGAACCAACTCATAGGGTCACTGTGTGAAATGAGGGAGAGAGTGACTTAGGGTACACAGCAGGCAAAATGCCCTGTAGGTGGCAGCATTGCTCACATTCTCCACTGGGATGGTTTGGCCAGGGCGCTGCATCTATCTGCCTCAGTGTTCCAGCTCCACCAGACCCTGGCTGCAGAAAAAAAAGCTTATGGCTCTGCCTCCAGCAGTCCAGTCCCCTCTGGAATTGAGGTAACCCATGTCCTCACTCACACTGGGTTGGCCCTGAGTTCATAAGCCTCCCTTTCTCACACAGATATTTCTCTTCTAAAAGAGAGCCAAAGGAAAGGTGCTGCTGGGGGTCTGTAGGCGAGCTGGGCCTTTCCAGGTGACCCTTAAGTCAAGCCCAGAGCGCTGCCTCCCATGAGTCTTCAGCATGGCCTTCCCAGAGCCTAGCTCTGCCGCATCCTTGAGGGCAGACCCCTGGGGACTTGGGGGACTGTGCAGCTCAGGTTCTTTGAATGTGGCTATTGGCCAGATTATAGTGACATCTGTGAGCGGAACACCCAGCTCCATTGGCCTGCAGGTTCTCTCTAAAGCAGGGCTTGTTCTTGAGCACCATACAGTCTGCGTGTCTGCAGCCTGCCATAGCACAGGTGGGAAATCCACCCAGGCATGTCCTTTCATTGCAGGAGACATGACCGTTCAGTGCCACTACTGTACTCACTATTCCTCGGCCATCATCGTCGCCTCCTACCTGGTCCGGATGCCACCCTTCACCCAGGCCTTCTGCTCTCTGCAGGTGAGCTCCCCTGCTCCCCATCCCCTCACCCCCAAACACACAGCCATAACTCACAAATGAAGAGCTGGGCTTGGATGAGGCAGGAAATGCAGTCGTTAGTCCATGATTCCCACTTAATGTCAGCTCTAGGATTCCGGGCTGGCCAGCCAAGGCAGGCTGCTCCTTACCAGTTACACCTTCATGTCTGTTGAACAGTCTTGCAAAAGGATTTTAAAATATAAGGAATGAAAGATATAGGGAGAAAGAAACACTTAACAGAAGTAGGTTTTAGTAGGAAAGGGAAAGCAGGAAACTTGAAGACTTCCTTGAAGGTAGGCAGTCAAAGATTATAAAAATAAACACAAAGGAGGAGGAATGGAAAGAATATCACTCATGATGCCAGAATGCATAATGCTATGCTAAGTACAAGCTGAGTGGATTAAGAGGACATACAAAATATTCAAATACTGAAGTGAACAGCTAAACCAGAGAAAGGAACTAATCAATTTGCCCACCCATAAAATAAAAGACCATCATGCCAGCTTAGGGTTGCCACATTCCTCAAATAAAAATATAGGACACTCAGGTAAATTTGAGTTTCAGATAAACAGTGATTGACACTAAAAAATTGTTGTTTATCAAGTTTAGCTTGGCCTCCCATGTTTTATGTGGCTATCTTGTACAAGCTGGAAGTGAGCAAGTTTGACTGTGAGTGGACAGTGGTGTCCAAGGCATGTGGGATTGCTGGGACAGACTCCCTCGCAGGCAGCAGAGAAGGTTTTTCCTTTCTTCCCCTTCTAACCTCATCCCTGGGACCCTGCTTCCCAGGTTATCCCAGGGGCATAGCTTCTGACTGGGGAGAGCCGTCAGGTAGCCCAGCTGCAGCCAACTGGCTTGGCCAGCTCCACAGCAAATACAGCACATGACCCAAATTTAGGGCCTGACCTGATTCAGGCCTTGCAAGGGTCCTATGCAGAGGAAGGCATGACCGTGGTGGGTGACAAGGGATGGGACATGCACGGACTTGCTCTGACAGCAAAGCTTCACCAAAGGAAAAAGCACGAATGTCCCAGGATTTGTGTTTTTTGGTCTGACCTCACCAGCAAGGTTACTCTTTGTGGTCACTCGTCTGAGTGACCTTGACTCCAAGGTCAGCACTGAGCCCAACTCCTGAGTCTGTACTCTAGGTCAGTATTAAAGCCAACTCCTATGTCCTAGGCAGGAATGGGTAAACAAGGTCAAGGTGCTTCCTCCAATGGGCAAAAGTCCTCCTGTGTTCTGTCTCTTGGCACAGCCTTCTCTCTCCTTGACGGCATAGCTTGTCTAGACATTGTATAACCCCTCTCCCTGGAAATTCACTCAAAAATAATAAATGTGCTTCCCCTGAGCCTTTCTCAGGCAACAAACATTTTAAGTAAGTTTGGTTTGAGCACAGTTAGTCCCAGAGCTGTACCCCATGCCAGGAATCCGATCCAGATGTTGCTCATTAATCCACAAGAAACGAGGATCACTGTTGATGATGAGGGTCATGCATTCCATTCTGTAATGCAGATTTCCATCCAGGGAGTTCTGGAGGCTTCACAAGTTTTCTCCTGGCTCTTCAGTCTAATGCATTAAAGCCCATCTCTACTTGTTACTCAGGGTCCTCCCACATGAAGTGGGGACAGAGTGACATGGAAATAGCATCAGCCACGAGATTTACATCTCAGCTCTGCCACTCAATAGATACAAAATCTTCTGCAAGTTATTTTACCTCGGGAAATGGGAGTTTCTTATGCACTTCTCATCAGGCTGTTGAGGTTAAATGAGAAAATGTGGGTAAAGCCCCTAGCTCAGGGTTGGACACTGCATGGTGATCAATCATTGTTACTGCCCTTCTTCCCCCTGCAATCAGCCAGATGTAATTTGAATTTGGTCCCCTCCGGTTTAAGTTAATTGAGGAAGTCAGACTGTGTCAGAGCATTCCAAGATGGTGTGAGCCAGACAAAACAGGTGTGCTTCGAACCCAGAAGGATATTGGGTTAAGGCTACTTTGAAGCTAGTCACAAGGAGTTTGAGCTTATTTTAGCCAATTTGGCCCATTGGTTACCAGACTCAACTGGTTTGAGATGGTCTAATCCAGTGTGAGATGGTCAGAGCCAATTTTACATGCTTTTAGGTAGTACACAATGGCAGTCATTAGCTCAAGCCTTTGTGTCCCATGCTGAAGTCTGATCTGACTCTGTTTTTTCTGGGTTCAAATCTACCTGTAGCATATTGACCCATCTGAGTCACACTGGGCTCTCCATATGTGCTTCTGAATTGGTTTCACCTACTTTTTTTTTTCTTTTAGCTGAGCCATCCTGCCACCTGTTGGCAGCTCAGCAGCAGCTCAGCCTAGGCCGGGCATCGAACTGCTGTTGCTCAAAGCTCACACTCTTGAGCAAGCTCTTAACCAGCTGAGCCATTCAGCCGGCCCTGGTTTCACCTACTTTTAACTGGCTCTTCTAGTGAGTCATAACTGGTCCACCCAAGCCTTTGGAACCAGCAGAAAAACCAAACAATTTCTGCTTTTCCCTTAGAATCAAAGATGAATTTTAGCTCTTAAGGAAATGGGTACAAAAAGGCTACATCTGGGGGAACATGCCTGGGTCTCCTTTGGGAGTCCTGGGGCCTTCACAGACCTCTTTTGGAATGTTCTGGCATCTTCCTGAACTCAGGCTCTTCCTTGGTCCCACCCTGCCTCCTAGGAGGCAAGTCTATTTTTTCTTAAGAGACCTTTTCTTCACTCTTGTGTGGTGACAAGGAAAGGGGCCTTTATATTCTCAACAGCCCAATCCAACCCCAGCATGGATCATGGAATGGGAAGGCTAAGAAAGATGGAGAGGGTGCCAAATCCAGGCAGTGAGGTCTTCCTCATGGATCTGGGAAGCAGTAAAGCAAGAATGTCAGTAGTTCCAGAGCCAGGTATACCTGCAAACAAGTGTCAGCATAACGAAGTGCATGCTTTTCCATTCTGCATTAAGCAGACTCTGCCTCTCGCCTATTAGCAGGAATAAACCAGTGCCTTCCATGCAGGATGGCTTGGCCATGGGAGTACATTCAGTGTGGAGAGGTGTGTGCCCATGCAGTACACCTGGTGTGGGCCAATGTACTGTTGAGAGGCAGGGATAGCTTTCTTTACGTACTGTGCCTGCCCACTGGCACAATGCAGAGAGATGTGGCCAGCATTAGGGGCTGTCACACGCAGCCTGAGAAGTGCAGTGTGGCATATTCTGGTTCCTGGGTGTCAGGTGTGCTTTATTCCCTTCACCTTTAAATGTGATTAAGTTTGGGCCAGTCTTAGAATTGATGCACACCTCTGTTGTCATTGTGTGTGTTTGTTTTTCTGCCCAAACTTGTTATTACAATGATAAACTTTTATATTCCAGAAAATATGGTGTATGAGCAGACTGCTCAGGTCACAGTATGGCCTGCAGGTAGTGTGACCCAAGCACTAGTTGGCTGTGTGCTCTGTTATCCTCATTTACTTGGAGATGTGAGACTCCTGGCTGCCCGAGCTGGGGTTTGCCTCCTAGGGTGCCGTGATTCTCAGGAACCTCACCTGCCTTGAGGAGCCGGTGTCTGTGGGCAACCAGGAGGCCATGCTGCTGCTGGGGCCACAGCCCTGGACCTCTTTCTGTCCCCATAAGAGCACCAGGTGCTCTCAGGCCTGAGCTCAGACTCAGCGTGGGTGGGGCCGAGTGAGGGAGCCAGTGCCCTGGCGAGGGCACAGTGGTAGTGGTGGTGCCACTGCTGCATTTAATAAGAAGCTGAAATAAAGTGCTGCGTTAATTAAGTCACAGCCCATGTGAAGTCAGCTGTTACCAGCAGCGGGGAAGAGTTTTCTGAACCACCTGAGGCGAGATGGCTGGGTTTTGTGTAAGACATATGCTCGCTGCAGAGAGAGCCGAGAGCCGGCCCAGTCTGTTCACCTGCGGGCTTTGTGGTGCCAGCTCTGGGTCCGGGAAGAGTTGTGTCCAAAATAAAGGTATAATTATGATTATGCTCACTCCACAAGGGGTATTAGAGAAGACACGCATAATAGAATCAGGAAGACCTGGTACAGAGCGTTGGCTCTAGAACTTTCTAATTAATGGTGTTGAATAACTGAACCTCAGTTTCTTCTGACTCAGTGGGCCATAAGGGTTAAGTGAGTTACAGCATGGGAACTGTTTGGCTGTTTCTAAGTGCCCCACACAGGTCCACTATCCTCCCTTCAGAGTAGGCAGCATGTTTTCCAAAATTCCTTTGTGGGTTTTATTTGTTGAGTAAAAGGCTACACCCTATAGGAAGGAAAGCTAATGGCTATTCTGGGGTCAGCCCCATCCTCAACGAAGAGCAGGATTGATGAGGCAGCTGAACTAGTCCATGGCTTCCCAAACCTGGTGAAACCCACAGCTCTTAGCTTACTGAGTAGGGTGTTAGAGGCTGGCATTTTCTCTGGGGAAGCTGACAGAAAGCCGAGTCCAGCTCTCTCTCAGCTGCAGGCATTTGTCCCTTCACTTCTTTGGTGCTGGTATGGCCTCAAAACTGCCCTGACAATGCACGCACTATTTCCTTTCCATTCCACAGGCGTTTGGACTTCTGTGCCCCTCTTGCCCCTGTTGCAGGACCCCAGCCCTCCTCACTTCCCCCCCCCCATGCCCCATCTCCTATTTCCAATAACTTCTAAATCCTTTTTATTTTTCTCTTTTGAGTCCCTGCTTACCTTCCCCATGCACACTGAGATTGGGGCCCACACTCAGGATTGCTTCCCAGTTCCTAGTCTGTGACGGGAAAGGGACATAGGGACTGGGCTCATTCCGCACCTCTTCCTGTGTGCCTGGCACTGCACAAGGTGCATTACACACGTGTGCATACACACACACACTCTCACACTCACTCCTACACTGACACACACCCACATTCATCCGCACTCACATTCTCACGCACTACACACTCACACACACATTGTTTTCCCACCCACAGCAATCACCCAGGTTTGCAGAGGAGGCCATGGGAGGGTAAAAGGATTAAGGAACTCACTAGAGTTCACACTGCAAGTGGGTGCTGAAATTCCCACTCTAGTTGTCTTGGTTCCAAAGCTAAGGTGCTTCCCACTGCATACTCCCTTTTTGATGAACAAAGGACAGTGGCTTAGGTCAACTGATGTATCCACAGTGTCCTGTAAGTCAATTGTTTACACAGGATACTTTTAAATTACTGGAAAGAATATCTGTCAAGAGGGTTGTCAGCTGCTCATAAAACCAATCCCATTATTTGGATGTGGCAGTGGGTTGATTTGGGTCAGATCACCTGAAAGGAACAATAGGCTTTCTAGCACATATTATAAAAACATCTATGTGTTTAAGTGTCCTTGGGCACATACAGTTACTGAAATTTCTGTGGCAGTGAGTCAAGGATTGAACATTTTATTTTTTTCCAACATAGTTTTTCTACCCATATTGCATCAGGATTTAAGAATGTGGCCATTTAAATGCTGATCCAGGGACACAGGTGCACATAGACTTGGTCCTCACTCAGAGTAGTGTCTTTAATATAGAACACTCCTTTCAAGGGTATTTCCAGTTTTGACTGATGTACTATACTTATGGCATTTTTTCATATTTTAACTCGTGTCAATGTTCAGTAACAAACCTTTTTGGTCACATCTTCTCTCATCATTTTGTTTCATCTCTTATCAAAATCAAGCACCTCTTAAAATATTTTAATTGAGGAATGATATTTAGGATTATGTTATTTCTGAGCCCTTAAATATTCAAGATATCTTTCTGGAGTCTTTACATAGGAACAGTGTTTCAGCTTGGCATACAATCCAGTCACTGTAACCTTTACTTCAGAAACCTCCAGCCTTGTCTTCTGGCTTTAGTGTCACCTGGGAAAATTCTGCTGCCAAGAGGAGGCTGCTCCTTTATTGATAATAATAACCTTGCTATTATTTTTTTGGTCTGTTTGGATACACATAGGATTCATTATTCTTGATATTCAAGAATGTCTGAAGAATAGATTTAGGAGTAGATCTTGGTTCAGGATTCTCTCTGATCACTTGTTTCCACCCAATCTCTAAACGTAATTTTGTTTTGTTTTATTTTGTTTTGGACTTTCCATATGGATGTGTTCTATAAACCTTAATTGTGATTCTCTGCTTCATTGCTCTCTCTTTCTTCCTTCTACTTTCTCTTCCTTTTCTTCTTCCTTCCTTTCCTGAGAGTCAAGTCCTTGTGGGGACTCATTGCTGGCAGCCACCAGACTTACAAGTAACAAAGCAGCTTCACTTTTCTTCTAGGAAATTGGTGTTTCTTTTGTATTGCAGAAGTGAGAAAACCCATTAATTTTGAAACAAATGTATGCAAATACATTTATTAATATAGGAAATAGGAAAATCAGTTATTGCTTCCTTTATAAATAATACAGGCTTAAGTTTTAAAGATATTACTTTTGCTAAAATGCATTAGACAGCTGTGAAAAAAATAACATTTTTCTTTGTGGTAATATCTTTAACCAAGTTTGTAGCACTAACAATATTTCCTATGTATATATTATTTTTATTTAATACAGGTAATCTTTTTATTACCAAATCATATTGTTTCTCAGGAGATTACCATCAGCACTCATAAAAGCTGCAAAAGGCCAATGGGACACGAGGCGGTATCAATCTCCTGCAGATGTAAGGCTGGGCTACAGATTAAATACGCAAAGCTCTGAATATGTTTCAATGAACGATGCGTTAGGTGCAAATTTGTTTAGAAGCACTCTCCCCCCATTTTGTTTCCATTTCAATTTGAATCAGATAGCGGATGTCATCCCCTAATTTCAAACAAGAGCAAAGTGACCTTGGAAAAAAACCACATCTTCAAGCTGCCCATGTACTATGTGTGTTTGTGAACCTAGGGGTAACTGTGTCTCTTGGTGTGCCTGTCACCGTGCTGAGAGTGGCCCGTGGATCTCACTGGATCCTCAAGTCTTATTCGGAAAATTGGCCAGCCTGCCATGATGTCCAGGTGTGGCCTACCTCGGGGTGTGGCAGGCTCTCCTTTTTCAGAAAGAGCTGAGTGCCCTTGGCCCATACATAGTAGATGAGGTTTGCCTAGGCCCAGGGGCTCCCCCAGTAAACAGGCACAAGGCTAAGCATGGCCTTTGGAGTTGCAACCATGGGAGTGATCCCTGTTCCGCCACTCATTGCTTTGGGAAAATCAATAAACTTTGAGGAGTCACTTTTCTGGTCTGAAAAATGGAAGTGTTAATTCTTTCCTAATACACCTGCTATGAGGACTAAGAGAGAGCATCTATGTGCATATAACGTGCTGACATGGAGTAGACTTGCCAAGAGAAGGCTCTTGTTACCCTCCATACACCAAGCACCTGCCCAAAGTTGCCTTAAGTAAATGCTGGTGGGAGAACTCAGCCCTCTGAAAAGTGAAGGGAGCTGACGGGGGCAAAGGAGGGACTGACATTCTGAGATCTACCCCCTTTGTTCTTGGGGCCATGTGTGCACAATGCAGAAAGTGACAGAGGAAGGCAAGTCCTGGTTGAACAAAGGTCCAGCCTTGGTGGAGACAAGTGAACTGTCAAATTCCAGGCAGGAAGGTGTTCCTAAACTTAAGAAGACCCCAAGCCCAGTTTCAGAAACTCTTTCCTGAAACCCCACTGCCCCCAGTGTCTTTATTCCTCCAACTGCAACTTCTCTGCCTCCTCTGATCCCCAAAACCACTTGATGAATGAGACGAGCAGGAAGTCAAAAGACAGAATTTGCCTTACGTCTAACCCGGTCCAGTTGCATCAAGCCACCTGTGGAGATGGGACTGGAACCAAGGCTGGCCTTGACTGGTGCTGCAGATGTTTTGTCTTCATGTACCAGTGACCTGTTTCCTGAAGGCTGGTAGGCCTCCTGCTCTCCATCTGCAGGCATTCTCCCTCCTCTCAAGGCTGCTATATTAGATGTCACCATGCTAGGTTAGGCGACCTGACTTACCCTGCTTTCTCCCACCTCTGTTCCTGTAAAGCCTTGCCCTCTGTTCAGAGTGCTCTGCCATCTTCTCCATCACCAGGCTTGCAGACTCCCCAGGGGTCCACTTCTCCAGGAAATGTACTCACCCCCACATAGAACATCTGACTCACTCTTGGTCCTGTAGTTGGTTCATTGGATCCTGTAATTGTGCCCAATTCAGAGCTGGCCTTCAGCAAATTTGGAGAATGGTCAGATGAATACTGTGGTTTTCCTATCTTTGATCTGGCCCCTTTATTGCAGTTATTATTATTCACGCCTCCTCTGTGGAAGCTCCCAGTACAAGGTTCCAGAGAAAGGCTGAGTGAACAGATGCATGAAGAGAGCATCACATGCATGCATGGACTGATGAATGAATGTGTGTGGGGGAGTGAATGAAAATTTCTGATGGCGGAACCAGCGCCTCAGCAGCAGAATGGACAAATGGAGGCCCACATGGGTGGTGCCTGCACAGCCAGAGTTCTCACCACATGCAGCTGATCATGTCAGCCCCTTTTTCCTTGTAGGGTGGAAGCTTCGATGTGGCAGATAGAATGTTCCACAGCATGAAGAACGCATGGGAGTCAGCCTCCAGAGAGAACATGAGTGATGTCAGGGAGCTGACCCCGGAGTTCTTCTACCTGCCCGAGTTCCTAACCAATTGCAATGCAGTGGAGTTCGGTGAGTGGAGGCCTGCGCGAGGACAGTGTGGGCCGGGCAGTGCAGGGGTCTCTTTCCCACAGTTCGGAATTAACTTTGCCAGTATCTTTGCTGAGCAACTAAACAGGCACCTCACCAGCCCTGTGCAGTTAGTATGAGAGCTCCACTGAGTGGCAGCACCCAAAGAAAAGATGGGAACTGAGGAAGGGTGCTGGGCCCAGCCGGCCAGAATTGCTTTGAGCCACAGCTTCACCCATAACCCTTCCACTGAAGGTCCCAGGCCTTAATCTGTAGCGAAGGGTGGCCAAGGAGCAGTAGCCCTTTTTAATAGCCAGGTCTGGCGCCTCCCTGCGGTGTGACCTTGGGCAAGCCCCTGACCCTCTCTGGCCCCATTTTCCTCCATGTCCTACAAATTGGCTAATCTGAACTCCATGGGTGGGACCCAGAGATGCTATGTCTCCTGAGACAGGTTGCTGGGTGGCGTTCAAGGGCAGCTGTAGGGGCACCCTGTGGCTCCTCTTCTTTCTCCAGGCCCCACCCCAAGATGAACCATGCCTTCTCACTGACTGCTTCAGTGGAGAAAAAAACATTTCAGGAGGCCCAGCAGCCAGGTCCCCTGCAGGTGTACCTTAGGAGCCTCCGCTGCCCATGCCAGGGTGACTCCTGGAGGGGGGGTGTGGTCAGAGCCTGGGTCGGGGGGGTGGGCAAGTCTCCATCCAAGGCAGGGCGATGGAATCACCCGCCCTGTGAAGGACACTTATGAAGTGTCACCAGCACACACATGGGGCCACAGAGTTCCCCTTCCTGGGGGTCCTGCTTCTTCCAAATGGCACATTTGGGCATGTACCTCTGTCACGTCCTGCGTGGCAAGGGCAAATGGGACACGAGAGGGGCGGCGCAGATTGAATAAGATCAAGAGACAGAAGTCAGATTTGAGAGCAAGACCAAGGGACTCAGCCTAAGAAAGACTGAGCCCTGAATTAGGTCAATGCTTGGCTTTTATTGAGAATTTTCAAAAGAAGCAAAACTGCAGAACGGTGAATCATTAACCGTGTATATGTGGGTGCCTTAAGGCTTGTTCCCATTATCAGACCCCTTTGTACTCCAACAAATGCTATGCCTTCATACATCACTGCACAGCCCCAGGACACTCTGTTACATGTCCTCCCAGGGGAGACAACTGATATCATTCCATCAGGTCTCAGTTTTCCGAGACACTTTCTCGACTACAGGGTATGAGGCTAATGCAGAGGGGGTGGTCGTGGGATTGGCTGTAAGGCAACATACCTCAAGCAAAGCCAAGAGGAGGCCTAGGGGACACGGTTGAGGGGCACTCATCTCTTTTTCAGTGGTTTGCAGCCAAAATACCATGGAATCTTTAGAACATGCCTGTGGCCAGGTTTGTGCCCATGGCCAGTCTGATGCCATGGAACTTGGTGGCCTCGACAAGTTCAGGTTCTCAGTTACTCACATGTATGAGAGATAAGAATAGACAATGCAAAGGCCAGTCCCCACGAAGCATGGGGTCCCAAGAAAGCAGTAAGGGGACCAGGGACAATGGAAGCCATGAGAGGAGTGGCCAGCCCACCTGGGTGAGGGGCATGCTGAAGGGGTGCCCACTGTGTCTTGGGAATGAAGGTGGAGCTCCGTGCTCAAGTGGGAGAGGCTTAGTTGCAGAAATGGCTCCCATGCTGAGGACTAGGTGTCCTCAGAGCAGTCAGGGAAACAGGGGTTATTGAGCACCTAATGTGTGAAGGCAGTTATGTAGGCACTGGGGATTTAGTTGTGTCTCCTAGAACAGATGGCCCTGAAGGTGTTTATATTCTGTGCAGGAATGTGGGAAGGGGATGGAAAATATGCACAAATAAATAAGTGAAATATTATCTGATGCTGAGAAGTCCTACAAGAAAAGAAGGTAGGAAAATAGTTCGATTGGGACTCAGAGGGCCTTGTGTTATTCTGATTCCCAGGAAGCACCTGCCTGAGGAGGTGACAGGTGAGCTGAGACTGAATGATAAGAAGGGCCAGGCCAGGTACAGCCCTGTAGGCCAGAGAGAGAAGGGGAAGATTTTATTCCAGTTGTACCATGAAGGGTCTGGAGGGTTTAAGCAAGACTATAGCTAATGTTTGTTGAGCAACAGTCATATGCCTAGAATTATTCTAAGCGTGTTATGTGTACTTTGTCGTTTAATCCTTATTCCAGCCCTGGGAGGTAACAGGTGGGAAAAGTCAATCCCAAAGCCATTAAGCAACTTGCTCAAGATTGTGCAGCTAATGAAGAGGAGAAAAACTCAGACTTGAATCCAGGCTCCACTTTGTAATGTCTGGGGAGCTCCCTCTGAAAACCTTGTTGTCCTCACTTTAAAAATGGAGAGAAACTGCATAAATTATAGAGCTGAATGAAGATTCAGTAAGACATAGTGTGCCAAGCACCTAGCATAGTGCCCTGGCATAGTTAGGTGCTCCAAATATGATAGCTTTTATTGTTGTTGTTGTTATCTCCTTGTTTCAACACTGTATAGAAAGCACCTAGATGGGAAGGCATAGAGTGATGGGAAGGAAGAAGTACAAACAATGATGGCACTACGATCATTTTATGTAACTTGCAAGTCAAGCATAGACACTGCCTGGGAAGCAAGAAGGGCTTTATGGAGGGGTCAAAAGTTTAGAGACCAAGTAGGAGTATTCCAGACAGATGAAGTAGGGACATTCTGGACAGAGGAGGCAGGAAGCAGTGTGGCCTGTGCAGGACATAGCCCACAGCCTGATCTACATGGGATCAGCAGTCTTAGACAGCACAGAGTTACACCCCCTGGTTCCTAGCCCAGTTTGGGCTACCGTTTACCCAAAGCTCTGCTGTTTCTCACCCCACTCAGGCTACATGCAGGACGGGACAGCACTGGGGGATGTGCAACTCCCTCCATGGGCTGATGAGGACCCTCGGAAATTCATCAGCCTGCACAGACAGGTGAGTTGATCATGCCAAAGTCTCTGGAATCCTGAATGAAGACTTCAGCATCCCCTCCATTTCCAGGGAGGCTTTCTGTGCAATTTGGAGGGCTAGCAATAAGCACTTATGAGGCTCCTAAATCTACAGAGCCCAGAGAAGGGGCTGGGCTCTATGCCCCACATTGGCAGGAAAAGGCTTGGGTTCTGAGCTTTTTCAAAAGTTCCATTAGGCTTTGTTCTTGTGCCAGTTTACTGTGGGACTCACTGCGGAAAGCAAATTCAGACTCTTGTTGGATGCCCTGGAGGGCAAGTCAGTGTCTTTAGCCAGCCTAATAGGCAGGGCCACACCATACTGCCTAGTACAGTTCAGAGACTGGCTGGAGGCCCCAAGGGGTCCATACTGGCCAAAGGATTTACCAGGACTGGGAAGGACTTGGCTTATTACCCAGAAAGGCAGATGTGGGTAGAGGGCAGAGGCCATTTTGGTACAGATATCCTGGATCAAATGCCTGGGTTAGTGTAAACACATGAAAAAATGTTAAACATTATAAGTCATCAGGGAAACAAACATTAAAACCACAATGAGATGCTACTACACTCTCACAAGATTGGCTAAAATTTAAACTACTGATAAAACCAAGAGTAAGCAAGGCCATGGAACAACTAGAATTTCCTAAGGCAAAATGGTAGAGCCACTTTGGAGAAAAGCTTGGAGTTTCTCATAAAATTGAAGATGCATTTACCATATCACCCAGCAATCCTACTTGTAACTATCTGCCCAAGAGAAATGAAAATATGTCCACAGAAAGTGTATAAGAATTTATAAGTTTTATTCATACTAATCAACAACTGAAAAACACCCAAATGTCCATCAACTGGTCAATGGATAAACAAATGATGCATGCACACAACGGAAAAGTACTTAACAATAATAAGGAACAGATTACTAACTCATGGAGTAACATGGATGAATCTCAAAAGCATTATCCGAAGCAAAAGAAGCCAAAACCCAAAGCTACATACTATGGGGTTCTATTTATGTGACAGATAGTCTGTAAAAGGTAAACCTATAGGAACTGAAAGCAGGTCATTGATTACTAAGGTCTGGAGTAGGGGATGACAGCAAAGGACTACAACACAACTTTTTGTCAATATGAATGTTCTATGTCTTGATTATGGTGGTGGGTACATGACTGCATACATTTGTCAAAACACATTGAACTGAGGGGCTGGCCGAGTGGCTCAGTTGGTTAAGAGCTCGCTCAAGGGTTTGAGCTCTGAGCAACAGAGGTTCTAGTGTGGCCCGAGCTGAGCTGCCGCTGAGCTGCCAACAGGTGGCAGGATGGCTCAGCTAAAAAACCCCCAAAAAACAACAACAACAACAACAACAAAACAACACATTGAACTGTACACTTTTAAAAGGTGAATTTTATTGTATGTAGATTATAACTAAAAAGAAAAAAAAATCTGGGGAAGGCCTGATTACTAACAAGGAAGCTGGGCCTTTTCTTCTGTTCTCCCTTTGCAGGGAGAAAATTCTTCCCTGGTTTATCCTTGCCTTGCCTCTGAAAATTCAGTAATCGCACTAAACCCTCCCACAGTCCTCTGGTCTTGAGTACTTGGGCCAGAGATAAACTTGACCTTCAGGTGACAACAGCCCTCTCCCCAGATGTTCTCAGAAAAGTTCTTGGCCTGGGGTGCGTGAGAAAGCTCACTCTACAGACATGACTGCAGATGCCAGTGGTGTGGTGGGGAGCCAGGTTGATCAAATCACTACACAAATAACAGGGAAACTGTATCTGTGAAAAAATGCTATGAAGGTTAGACATACAGTGCCATGAAATATGTTAGTGATGTGATCCAGGGAAACTGGGTGGTGATGATAACAGTGGGGAGAGCTCCTTTGGTGGAATGAAGATTGTATTGGAGTGGATTAGGATGTTAGTGACTGATGTCATTGAAACATCAGAGTAGAAACCTCTGAAAACCCTCTACTCCATAAAAGCAATAAGAGTAATGGCAAAAGTTGTCATAACAAACTTTTCAGAACTCTGAAAATTAACCAAAGGCTTATAACAATCAGAGGAGGGCTCCTTCAAGAAAAATGACTGAATCTTGGTAAAATAGCAGGCTTTGTGGTGTTTTAACTTGCGCTATTTCTATGTCTCCTCTCCAACTCCATAGTAGCCTTGAAAGACAAGAGCGTATAATCACAGAGAAAACCAACAGCCTGGCAGTCATCGGAGGGGGAAGGATGGGGTTGGAGTTCTTTCAAAGACCCAAACCCAGAGAACTCTCATTATTTGACCTGTCTGTTGGTTCCCTGAAAGACCCCACTCAGAGCCTGCCCAGTGCAAACAGCCTTTTCTTCAGTGGCATTTATCAAAAACAATTAGAGTCAGTCATTTAACACTGTGGCTGCTAGAAGCAGTAGATAATCATTGACAGACAATATTCTGGCTAACCAAAAAGCTTAAAAGAAAAAGCTGGAAAATAAGATGTTTCTAGGAGGCCTTGAAAACTTCAGAATACCCCTGGGAACCCAGAAGGACACCTCTCTATCTGTTGGGGCTGTTTTCATGCACAAGGCAGTGCTCATATTCAAGAAAGACCTGAAAAAGCCCTAAGCTCTCAGTTCTGGCTGACATTGAGGCTTGCTGCAAGCAGGATATAAAGGTAAAGGCAGAGTTTTAAATTGCTTGGCTGGACATTGAAATCATGCCCTAACATGCACAGAAAGCCCCTTGGCAAAGATTGGGAGACTTACTGGTTTCAGGCACTTAAGGAATTCTTCATCCACTCATCACTTCACCATTAAGCTAACAGAGCAGAGACTTCAATGGACACATACACCATGAAACACAGACTTTATAGAACTAGTTCAGAAAAGTTACTAAACAAACAACCACAACAAACAGCAGCAACAACAAACCCTGGGGAAAGGGGAGAATCTGATTTCCAGAACGGCCACATCAAGATATGTATAATGTCCAGTTTTCCACAAAATTTATAAGGCATGCAAAGAAAAAGACAGTATGAACCATACACAGGGGATGGGGAAGCAGTCAATAAAAGCTATACCTAAGAAAACTCAAACTTTAGACTTACTAGACAAAGACTTTAATCTACTATTGTAAATATGTTCAAAGAACTAAATAGAACCATGTTTAAAGAATTAAAGGATGGTGTGATAATAATGTCTTACCAATAGAGAATATCAATAAAGAGATAAAAATTATAGAATAGAACCAAATAGAAATTATGGAGCTGAAAAGTACATTAACTGAAATGAAAAATTTGGTAGAGGGAATTGATAGCAGGTTTGAGCAGACACAAGAGAGAATCAGCAAACTTGAAAGATAAATCAATTGAGATTATCAAGTCTGAGGAACAAAAAGAAAAATTAATGAAGAAAAATGAAGAGAGCCTAAAGACTTGTATAACAACATCAAGCATACCAACATACACATAAAGGAAGAACTAGAAGGAAAGGAGAGAGAGAAAGAAGCAGAAAGAATATTTAAAGAAATGATAGTTTAAAAATCTCAAATTTGATGCAAAACATTAATTTATACATCCAAGATACTCAAGAAACTCTAAGAAGGATAAATTCAAATAGATCCGCAGCCAGACACAACATAATCAAACTGTCAAGAGATAAAGTCAATAGAAGAATCTTCTTTTTTTTTCCTCAAATCTTGCTTTTTCTATTTTCTTTCATTTTCGAGGTTCACTTGTATTCTTTTTTTAAAAATTAGTTTCAGGTATACAACACAGTGCAATAGTTATACTTTTTACCCCTCAAAGTGACAACCCCTCTACCCCAATTTGCCGCCCCACTCCCCCTGCCCTGATATCATACATATCTATTACAATTCCATTGACTCCGCTCCCACACTATACTCCACATCCTGTGACTATATATATATATTCAATTATAGTTGACATATGATATTATATAACATCAGCTTCAGGTGTACAGTGCAGTGATCAAGCCTCTACCCCATCCATGAAGTGGTCTCCCTAACAAGACATGTGACCATCTGATACCCTACAAAATATTTACAACATTATTAATTATACTTTTTACCCCTCAAAGTGACAACACCCTCCTCCAATCCACTGCCCCACTCACCTCCCCCATGTCATACATATCTATTACAATTCCAGTCAATAGAAGAATCTTGAAAGCAACAAGAGAGAAGCAAGTCATCATCTAAACTATATCTTCAATAAGATTAATAGTTAATATTTATCAGAAACTATGGAGGCCAGAAGGCCAGATTATGGTATGACATAATCAAAGTTCTGAAAGACTGTCAACCATGAATTCTATATCCAGAAAAAATATCCTTCAAAACTGGAGAAGAAATTCATTAAGACATTTCTAGATAAATAAAACAGAGAATTTATCACAAGCAGACCTGCCCTACAAGAAATACGAAAGGAAGTTCTTCATCTTGAAATAAAAGGGCACTAGACAGTAACTCTAATACATGTAAAGAAATAAAGGAAGTGAGTAATGATAAGGAAATGGAGATGGTGAGGATGGGTAACAAAAATTCTGATTGTGAAACAAAGAATAGTACCTGGAGGAGACGTCAGGTTAAGGAGATGTAATGGCTTTGTTTTTAAAATTTTTAGTAAGCATGTTTAAGAGACAGTGGGAAAGAGAAGTTGGATATACAAGAGAAAGATTAATAAATTCTTGAGAAAGCTGGAATCCAAAACAAAGGTAGAGGGTTAGTTTTATGCAAGAGGTGGGACAGCTTCTTGACTTAAATAGTTGAGGAAGGGAGGTCAGGGAGTGGCAGATGAAGGTAAGTTTATATGTGTTCTCAGGAAGATGTAAGAGCTTTTAATTGACTTCTATTTTTCTCTGTAAAGCAAGAGGCATGGTTAACTGCTGAGAGTGGACAGTCGGAGAGGGTCCAAGTTGAGGAAAGTGCAGGAAATATGAAACAGTCATGTAGAACAACTAAGCATGAGTTGTCCAGAAAAACATATCTAGGTGTTCTGGCAATGCTCAGTGTCCATCTGAGATTAGTGACCCAAAATTATAGGGTAATCAATTTGCCCCCTTGTGTGATGTTCTCCAGATACTCTGGTGTAGGCATAAAGACAGAAAATACTTGAGTTTTCTCAGAGCACTGTGAAAAGACACGTACACATGATTAAAAAACATAACAAGATATATTGGCCATAGTGCTATTGAAATGATGGCCCACTAAATCTAAACTGGGTCAAAATGTGGCGAAAGACAGAAGAGTGTTGATAGATTAACAAGTATAAAACAAGTGAGGAGACAAGGGGACTGGAAGTACTGATAAGGTGGAAGAATAGTAAGAAGTAGTCAAAGAACCAGCAAGGTGAGGGTATGGCTTTCACTACCTGGGATGTTTGAATGAATGATTTTGAAAATAGAGCAGTTAAAGATACTGACACGGGTTAATGTGTGTCTATGAGAGTGAGTGACTTTAGGTAGAATGCAGGCAAAAGTCATTGGAGAAGTGAAGCTTAAGAAACTGAGACGTGAGAGACTGAAAACACTAAGGATGGCCATAGCAAACCTTGAGCTCTGCTTAGCAGAGACAGGTACCATCTGTCCCATGAACTGGGCATCCAAACACTACTCTACATTTCCTCTTGCTCTTGTGTGGAAACTGTTGAGAAATACTGCCAACCTGAGTGCCCTAATCTCAGCCAACACCACCCATCTGCACTATGTCCACAAAGGATCAAGTATACTTGGACTCCTAGGGTAAATTATTTCTGTTTCCTGTTAGATGGCACTTTTAGTCAGGGGCAGATGTTGCTGGCTCCCAGTGGGAGCTTGTTCCTGAGGGGGTGGCAATTAGGTCCCACTTAGAGGCTGCAAACTCAGAGCCAGGCTCTGTGGCTGAGTCTGCAATATTTCCTGTCCTCCTGCCTGGGGACAGAGAGCCTGCACATGGCCAAAATATTCCTCAAAGACCTCACACGTGCCCCTGAGGTGCATGGGTGAAATGCTCTTGCCCGCTGCATGCCCTGGACTGGACAGAGGGGCCCCAGGCAGGAGAGTTCACATTGCCTGGGACTGAGCTGCACGTCAAAGGCAGGTCCTATTCTTTCCCTTCCAGGGTTGACTTAGAAAGAGACCCAGACCCAGCTGTCAGTAATTTCTAAATGAAGTGAGATCTGCTCAGAGGAACTGGATGTCCCCTGTGGAGTTCTGAGGCCTGAAAGTTGGGGGCTGGGATAGTAGTTTCGAAAAGCACAGGTGAGCCTGTCATCCCAGGAGTGGGATAATCATACCTGCCAGCAAACAGTGGTGCTAATGGGCAGAGACAACGAAAATCCCAAGCCATGCCTGGCACATAGTGGGTACCCAGTGTAATCATCATAGCTAATACTACATGGAGATCAGCCATGGGCACAAACTAATTTGCACATATACCCACAAAGAGGTACAATTACTGTTCCTATTTTGCAGATGAAGAAACTGAAGAACAGAGATATTAAGGAATGTAAGTGGCAATGCCACAGTCCAATCCTCTACAGAGTGTGTTCTCTTAACTGCAACACTTAGTCTCAAAGCCTCTGACATTCTCTGGTCAGAATCAGCGCTCCCTTCTTCCTATGTCAGAGCTCAGCAGGACCCCACATTTTATTTTCAGTCTGGTCTGTTCCATTTAGCTTTCAGTCCCCAGACCTGCATGACATAGCTATTCGGATCCCCATAGTTATTTTGTGGAGTGGATGAGCTGGGGTTGTGGGAGAAGGCGGATGTGTTTTGCTACTAGCTGGAGGCAGGAATTGGGTGGTCCTTGGGTGGCCTGCACATCTGCCCAGTTAGAACTCACCCAGCTCAGCGAGGTATCCCTCATTTCCTGTGCAAAGCCAGTGTCCTGAACCACATGCCACCTCCTGATCTGTGCAGTGAGAACACAAGTTTCTGAGAGGCCTGCATTTTTCATGCTCTTTGGGTTTTGGTTCCAGGCTTTGGAAAGTGACTTCGTCAGTGCGAACCTCCACCATTGGATAGACCTCATTTTTGGGTACAAGCAGCAGGGATCGGCCGCAGTGGAGGCTGTTAATACCTTCCACCCCTACTTTTATGGTGACAAAATAGACCTCAGCAGCATCGGTGACCCCCTGATCAGGAACACCATCCTGGGGTTTGTCAGCAACTTTGGACAGGTGCCCAAACAGGTACAGCATGCCATGTCCTTTGTCTTCCTTCCTCAACACAGTGTATGCAGTGTGAGCTTGGGAGGGAGAGAGTGAGGACATTTTCTCCTGGGATAGGAGCAAGAAAGAGGGCTTGAGAGGCAAAATGGTCTCTGAGTGTCTTCCTATGCCTTCAATATCAAGGCTTAACCCTCAGCTACCACCTGATGCTGATGAAGATGATGACATCATTAATGATAATGATGAAGGTTTCATTCATCTGTGATGTATTTGATAGACACTATGATAATCCACAGGATTTAATTCTTTACATGTATCTACACTCTAGGGTTGTTGTGAAGGTCCAATGAATTAGGACATCAAGGGCTCAGAAGTGCCTGAAATATGATTAGCACTCAACAAATGTTAGTTATCAGTGTGATTACCTCATTGAACCCTCTTATAAGCTCTGTGTATAGGAAGTTTTCTTTTACAGGTGAGGAAACTGAGGCTCTGAAAGGCTAAATAGTTTGCTTGTAACTGCAGCATTAGCAGGTGAGAGGTAGAGCTCTAGCCCCATCTGGCTGGCTCCAAAGCCCATGTCATATTGCCACCGCTGTGAGAGCATCTCAGTTCTGCACCCTGGGCTCCTGATGAAATGGCAGGGATCCCACATGAGCCTTTTTCTCCAATGGCTCTGTCCCCTCTCAGGATAGTTACGTGGCAATGTGAGGTTGTGCATTCCTATTGACACCCTGATGGATGGTGTGCAGAGGAGTTAGGTGTTTATTTAATTGATCCTAGCCCTCTTGATCCTCACACTTAAGTGCAGTGTAGAGAAGCTTTGCTCCTGAGCACAGCCAGCTGGAGTAAGAAGCATGGCTCCTCGACTGGGGTCCCAACTTGGCAGTCAGGAGTCACACTGGGAAATGAGTGCATAAGCCCAGCCAGTTCCAGAACCATCCCGGGCAATGGCCTTCCCCACATGTAACCATGAGGACTAGACAGGCTCATCTCGTCAGTGCAAAACTAGTAACATCTTTTCTACCTGGTCTTACGTGACATGCTCGTGTTTGCCCAGCTCCCAGAAAGGGACACGTGGAAGGGCCTGAGGGGGACTTGGAGAATGGATGGCACCTCCAAATGTGAGTTTGCCCAGGGAAGGCTTGGAAGAAAGGAGAGAATTTTAGGAAAGAAGCTTGAGTATCCTAATGGTCTCATTTCTTTTATTAAAAAAATAGAATAATACAAAAAAGCAATTAAATAATTAAAAATAGCACACCACCACTATCCGACTGTGTCCTCTGTTATATACTCACAATCCTTGTCCATAAGCAAAAATATTTTCACATCCATGTGATCATGGAGCACACACAAGTTTAGATTCTGATTTTACTTCATTATATTTCGTGTGAGTTTTGAAAACTATTTCTAAATAATTATCAGAATTAGAATTTTTCATGTGGTTCCAGCCTGAAGAGAAGATTAAAATGCTTCAGGGCTGTGCACTGTTCCATCAAAGGCTGTGCCTGATGGAGCTGTAACAGGGACCCGGGGCTTCAGTCATTCTGCTGTGCAGGAAGAATGTTACTTATTTAATGCTCATTTAAAAATCATTGTTCTGATTTCTGTTTCCAATGATCACCCACCCAGCTTTACTCGATGGTTCAGCATCTGATGGAGGGCTCTCACTGAGCCAAGGCTGCTCTGAGTCCCCCAGCTCCCTGCTGACCTTCCACCTCCCCACCCCCTCATGGTGCCCAGGGATGTGCCCACTGGTTGGAGAAAGCAGTCCAGCATGGCTCAGTTGTGGGGGAGGGAATGGTGGAGGGATGGAGCTGGACTCCCCTGCACTCTCTGGCCCAGAAGCAAGGATTCCGCATGGGCTTGCACTTCATGCTTCGCCCGGTTATGTGAAAAGTTTGGCATTGGGGACAATTTAACAGTAGAGATCTAAGAAAAATGAAAATAAGAAAGGCTACTGCTAATGGGGTTTGCCCACACTCTTTGGAATATTTGAATGCATGCTATTAGAGAATTCTGTGTTGATGCCCAGATGGATGTGCTTACAGAGTGTGTGTAAGGGAAATGGAAAATGTGAGAAACAGCTTAAGCAAACGAAGACAGACATGTGATCTGGGAGGGAGAGGGCCATTCTGGCCCTATGATATGAGAGGCAGCTCTTGAGGTCATCTTTTCTCCATGCAACTTGGTGAAGAAGACAAATTCTGCAGCCAGGAAGGTTATGTTTGCCAGTCTTGCACTGTGACCCCGAGAAAGTAGCTACTCCTCTCTGAGTCCTAGGCCCCTCAGCTGTAACATCTGAGTGTTGAACCAGATGGTTTTGGCTATGCTGACTATGCTCATCTAGGTCAGGAGCAAGCCCAGCCAGGAACCACCCAGAGCAGAGGTGCAACTGAGAGTCACATAGGGATGACTCCTCCTCTGGCCGTCCTCCCCAATGACCTGTGTGGTGTGTGTCTGTCCCCTCGCCTCTCCAGCTCTTTACTAAACCTCACCCGGCCAGGACTGCTGCAGGGAAGCCTGCCTCTGGAAAGGATGTCTCCACACCTGTGAGCCTGCCCAGCCACCCACAGCCCTTTTACTGCAGCCTGCAGTCGCTGCGGCCCTCCCATGTCACAGTCAAAGGTGAATACCTTGCCTTTCTTAGTTTGGTTCCCTGTCCCACAGTTTTCCCTTCAGTGACTGGTGTTCCTCTGGAGCAGCGGTTCTCAACCTTCCTAATGCCACAACCCCTTAATACAGTTCCTCATGTTGTGGTGATCCCCAACCATAAAATTATTTTCGTTGCTACTCTATAACTGTAATTTTGCTACTGTTATGAATCGTAATGTAAGTATCTTTTTGTTTTCCGATGGTCTTAGGCGACCCCTGTGAAAGGGTCATTCGACCCCCAAAGGGGTCGCGACTCACAGGTTGAGAACCACTGCTCTGGAGGTTCAGGGGTGTAGACTTCGGCAGTGGCTTGGGGTTGGACTGTGTCACAAGTCACAGCAGTAATCCGGAGAGCCCTCTGCTCTGGAACCGTATAGGATGACCTCTGTCAGCTCCTGACTTCTGGAGCTGTCTGTCTGTCTGTCTATGTGTCTGTCTGAGACACACACCTCTCTCTTTCATGTACACACACACACACACACACACACACACACACACCCCTCTCTCTTTGTCTTTCTCTTCATACACACACACCTCTTCTCACCTCCAAAGCTGAATGGGGAAGTCCCAGGTTTCCCGAGGGAGGGTCTCCTGTCCTTGATACCTGAAGTCGCCGTTGCTCCTGAGCACCCAGGTGGGCCTGCAGCCAGCAGCCAAGAGCATGTCCCCCGGGGCAGATGGCCCGGGTGGCCCGGGTGTGAGTTCCAGCCCTGCCACTTCCTAGGGAAGCTGTGTGTGTAAAGCCTGATGTCCGTGTCACCCCGGGGTGTGCACTGCTTTTGTGAATCCCACTGCATGGAACATTCTGATCCCAAGAAGTATAACATCGGATTTGTTGCAATTTTTTCCTTTGAAGTCCAAGAACAGTGTCCTTGGCATGCCCAGCCCTGTTAGATATGGTGCCTGGGAGGGGCAGGAAGAACAGAGCCCTCCAAGGCTCCCATGGTTGTGCCATGTGCCCCACAAGCCTCAACTCCTTCTCCCCTGCCACCAGCCCCTAAGAGACATGGGAGGCCTGCATGGCCACACACTGAGTGTATGTGCTAAGTCAGGGGAGGAACTGAGGGCCAGGGGACCGGCTCAGGGCCAGGGTCTAATGCGGCCCCTGGAGTGAGGCCTGGGACTGAGGTGCCTTGGCGAGCAGCCTCTGCCTGTGTTTTGCCATCGGCCTTGCCTGCCCCTGGTTCCTCTCTGGGCCCAGATAAAAGCAGTGTTGCCCTTGGATATGTGAGTGCCACCATACTGACTGGGGGGCAGATATGTACCTTTTCTCTCTAGGGTCAGAGTCCCCCAAAGGTGCCATCGGCCACATCGTGTCCACCGAGAAGACCATCCTGGCCGTGGAGAAGCACAAGGTGCTGCTGCCTCCTCTCTGGAACAGGACCTTCAGCTGGGGCTTCGATGACTTCAGCTGCTGCCTGGGGACCTACGGCTCTGACAAAGTGAGCACGCCAGGGGGGCAGGCTGACCACAGGGCTCAGCTTCCTTCCACTTGGGGCAGAGGTGGTCAAGAGATGGGTGAGCCCAGAGTAGGCACAGCCGCCCATGGCCCACATCCTCCAGGCGGCTGTGTCCCTAGCCCAGGAGTGAGAGGGCTTGTGTGACTGTGCCAAGGGGCCTTGTGAGCCAAGCCTCCAACCACATTCCAAGGAGTCAAGCTTGTAAGTTAGCAGTGCCCGATGTCACCACCACAGTGGTCTCTGCCACTGGCTGGTCACTTGGCTGCACCAAGTCCACCCAGACTCTTAGTCTGGGTGGGAAGTCCTGGGGGGGCTCCTCCAGCCCCAGGCATGGCTTAGTCTCAGAGAACACATACTGAGTTTTCAGCGGTGCCAGAAGCAAGCCGTCTGGTTGCTCGTCCTCTACCCTTGCTTTAGGCCATCCAGCTATCTCACCTTCTGGATGTGGCCCTGGCTGCCTCCCCAGCCCCCTCCCTTCCCTTTCTCCCCTCCTACTAACCCCTCACTCCATCCTATAACATGGCCTGAATTCACTGCCCACCAAGCTCTCTCGCCGTGCTCACAGGGGATTCACAGGGTCCCCATAAATGCTTGCTCACTTGTTTCTCCCCATCTGTTAGAGTATGAGCTCCTTGGAGATAGGCTTGGGATGACTTACACTTTGTCACTAGGGTCAGGCTCCTGAACAAGTGACATGTCCACACGGTTCATGGGCAGGCAGCGACATCCAGACCTGCCTGCATCCCTCTGTCACCCTGGCACAGGATCCCAGTCCCATGCTGGCTCTGGTACCCATGCTCACCCTGCTTGTCTTACACAGATCCTGATGACATTCGAGAACGTGGCTGCCTGGGGACGCTGTCTGTGTGCTGTCTGCCCATCCCCCACAATAATCATCACCTCTGGGGCCAGCGCTGTGGTGTGTGTATGGGAGCTCAGCACGGCCAAGGGCCGCCCAAGAGGCCTGCACCTCAAAAAGGTATGGTGCCTTAGGCAGCTGGGTTGCTTGGGCAGGTGTGATACATCGGGCAGGTACAGTGCCCTAGCATGCCCAAATGCTCTGACCTCAGGAGCAGGGAACACAGTGAGGCACTGTGGCTGGCATACAGCTCTGTGTCATTCAAAGGACCATTTCATGCCCACAGGTGGATTTGACAAGTATACAGGGGCCACACATCAATGAGAGATGCCACTTCCACATCAGTGCCAGTGAAACTGGTTTCCTTGAACTAGAAAACATGTTTGAGCATTTGCCATGGACACTGATGTGGATATCCTCGCTTTACCTTCTCAACAGCCCTATAAAATAGGTACTGTTAGCATCCCTACTTTATTGTGGCGGATAAGAGGTACAAGGAAGTTAGTTAAATGATTCATCCCAAATCACAGAGCCAAGAGATGAAAGACTGTTTGAGAAGAGGGAGGTTGTGCAGGAGGCGAGCGCAGCTGAGGAGGGCAGAGGACTCCGCTGGCCCCACCTCGCCACTACTCATGGTGATGAACAGGGCTAGACACTGTTTACTGCAGAGTCTGCACTTAATCTAATCTTGTAAAGCAGGTATTATTCCACTTTCAGAACTGAGGCTCAGAAAGGTTGAGTTCGCATTTTAATCTAGGTTTGTCTAACTCTAAGCCCCATGCTTTCTTCCTATGTACCCTTGAACTTGCCCAAGAATATCACTAGGGGACACTTCCAACTCTAAATGCAATTTCTTTTTACATCTGTTTTGCAGTTAGCCATATAGCCCCAAAATAACAAGAAACAAAATTAACCATACAAAGCTCCCCATAGACCAGATTTCCAAAACTGAACCTGTTCCACTGGAACTGATACTGGGTTTCTCAGGGTGTTTCCAAGCCACCCCAGCACATGTGTGGTGTGTGGTGGGCACTCGTAACCATGAGGTGAAGGAATAAATCATCAGCTCTGAGGGAGCTGATTAGTTCTGCAGAGACGGTGGCACCTGTGGAGAGGCAGCTGTGTGGGTCAAGTGCAGTCTGCCTTCCCCAGACTCTCAGAGAAGTCCTCCAAAGACATCCTTGGAGCTCCTGCCTTTTCATGTTTTTACATTGCTCCTTTCCATCAACTGCTGTGTCAGGGGGCTGGGTTTTTATTCTGGACCTGAGTGAAGAGACTGTGCTTTACTCTGTAGAGCGCCTCTCTCTCCCAAGACTAACTTTGGGATAGTGGGAGGTCCAGACCAACCCCAAAACAAGCCTTTGTGAGCTAGAGAAAGGACCCTCCCCCTGCTGCTCCAAGGTCCTGTTCAGTAGTGGTGACGCATCGTCAAAGCATTGGTATTGATGGCATACAAACTTAATTTATCATCTCTCCTCATTCTAAATCAAGAGAAAAAGGCATGGGGAATCCCACATGCTTTTATTTCCTAGACAAAATAAAACCCTTTATCATTGACCTACAGAGGCTGACACGGCCTTGGGGAGCCTCCAGACCACCAGCTGCTCAGAAAGGGGGTTCTGTCCTCAACTTATAGACAGAGACGTCATCATTAAGTAGCTTCATAAACAGTTTTTGAAAGTATTTTATTATAAAAGATATTACAACATTAAAGACAAATTTCAAATTCACTCTATAATCCCTATGAAAGTTTTCATTGTTGAATGCTAGTACCCCCAGATATACCTGTTTATACCAATCTGATCACTGTATAGATATGTTTATTCTTTTACCCAACCTATCAAATTGTTTCTGCTTTTCTACAGCCTCTATAATTTACATTTCAATTGTTCCATATTATTTCATTTCCATAAAATTACATTTCAATTTTTTTGTTATGTCAGTGCAGTTTCATAAACCATTTCTTCAAAAACTAAACAATTACATTGCTTCCAAGTTTTAACTATTTTAAATAGTGCAGTAGAAAACATCCTATATGGATTGCTGTTTGCTTCTGATTAGTTGTTTCCTTAAAATAAAGTTTAAGAAGTAGAATTATGGAGCAGTGACATAATGCTTTCTATAATGGCCCTATAACTTTATGGTGACACCAACACTTACTTGGGAGGACCCATCTCACCACATCATATCCAGCATGAAGAATTATTTTCAGAGGTTTTTATTTTATTTTATATTTGCTACTTTAATTAGGTATAAGATGATATAATGAAATTATTTTCACTGGCCACATAGAGAGGTATTATTCCGAGAAACAAAAGAGCTGACTAAGAGCGCATTTAAAACTGCTGTCGCCCTTGTCTGATTTCCCAGGCCTTTCCAGATGGCAGGGTGTTGCTGACTGCTCCCTGGTGCTTTCGTTTAGGCAACAAGCCTTGTGTAGGTGGGTGATGCCCATGCCTACAGGCTGTTCAGCTCCCCTCCAGCACCTCCTCTGCAGAGAGTAGCAGCCGTGGCTCCATTAACGGGCAGAAAGCATAGGTGCTGGAACTCAGAGCTTCTCCCTCTGAAACCCCAGCCCTCACTCCCAGGCGCCCAGCCTGTATTCTTTGGAGTCTCCATGTTCCCTGTGGTCAGAACCTTAGTCATCAGACTTAGCTCATCCTGGGAAGACAACCAGAAAGCTCCTGTCAACTCTTCTGGTTTTTTTCAATTCACTTAGACAGTTTCCATTCTCCCAAGATGACCCAAATCTTCTGTGGGTTACGCCCAGAACCTTGCCAGCACCATCTGGTTGGTGCCACATTAGGTTCCACTGAGGACAAGTGGGAATCTAAGGCAGAACTTTTTTTAAAAAGATTTTATTGGGGAATTGGGGGAGGGGAACAGCATTGGGGAATCGGGGAAGGGGAACAGAGAAGTTGCTGTTCTTTTGTTCTTCAGTCTAGTTGTGGAAGACATCGCTTCACTGGCCCGTGTTGGTATTATCATTGCACTCTTCCTGGGTGAGGCAGATTGGTTGCCAGCCACTGGATGGCCGTGACTCTTGGCAGCTCATGACGGCTGCCGGCCGCTCAGGGTACCTTACGGGAGCCCACTGCAGCTCCACTGCAGCCTACACTGTCACCGGTGACTCATGGCAGCCCAGCTCCAGGTCAAGCTGTTGTTCACCATCTTAGCTGTAGAGGGCGCAGCATCACTGGCCCTAATGTGGGATCCGAACCAGGGCCCTGCTGCTCAGAGCTGGCATCCCAAGCCCAATCTTTAAGCATGCGCCACCCGGGCCGGCCGAGGGAAAAACTTTTAATTGTTGTGATCAGGCAAAGTGACAGCTTTGACAAATGACACTCAGCCTCAATGATCCAAATGAGTGAGCAGTAGTCTGTCCTGAAGGTGGAGGTTTATCACTAGGTAAGTAAGCCAGGGTGATGACGGCGAGGACACTTCTCTGGCTGATTCCAGAGGCTGGCAGGCATGTGTGTGTACAGCAGCTCTCAGATCAGGCTTACTGGGAGCCTCTGGGATGGTTGTGATGGAAACCACACTGTTGCCAGTAGCATTTGGCCTGGCAGGCTTCCCCAGCCCCTCGGGAATGTGTCCCCAGGAAGCAAGGCCTCTGACCAGATGTGGACACATAACCATCCATGAGCTGGGCCAGATCCTGCACGGGCCAACCTGAGGGCCAAGACCAAGGCTCCGAGTCACCCGCTGCCCTGTGGCCAGATTGGCTGTGAACCCAGACCCACCAGACTTGAAAAGTCACATCCTTTTAACTATGACCTGACTTTCTTCCCAGTTTAGTTTCCAGGGAGGGGCTTGTGTATGTCTGAGGTTCCCTTAGTGTGATGCCCAAACTTGAGTGTGCATGAAAATTCCATGGAAGGTTTGTAGAAACCCAGGTTGTAGGGCCCCTCCCCCAGGGTTTCTGATTCAGTAGATCTGGGATTGGGCCCAAGAATCTGCATTTCTAACAAGTTCCTAGATGATGATTATGTGGCAGGTTGGGATTCTATACATTGTAAATCAGAACCCTTGCATATTAATAGCAGCATGTGCTATTTCAGGATAAGAGACAAATACAGATGTACAGAGCATAAGAGTGCTGCTATTGTCTGCCTGGGTTATGAAAAAGGACACTGGTTCTCCCAAGCTGGGCCTCAACCCTAGACAGGGATGGAGCTGAGGAGGCAGCCATGGGTGCACACAGGTGTATACACACACACACATGCGCGCGCACACACACACACACATGCACACACACACACACACACACACACAGAGTCATACACACACCACAGGCTTTAAAATCACTGGATCACTCCAAATCTGTTTCCTCATCTGGGGCCTAACAGTAAAAGGGAGGGTGGAGTATCTCACCAAGAAGCTGGCTTGACAGTCCCACTCAACCTGTGGGTCTGTCACCTATCCCCAGGCCTTGTATGGACACACACAGGCTGTCACATGCCTGGCAGCATCAGTCACCTTCAGCCTCCTGGTGAGTGGCTCCCAAGACTGCACTTGCATCCTGTGGGACCTGGACCACCTCACCCACGTGGCCCGCCTGCCTGCCCACCGGGAGGGCATATCTGCCATTGCCATCAGTGACGTCTCGGTGAGGCCCCTCTTTCTCAATGTCTGTGTCCTCGACATGTCTGTGAGCCTGGGTGGTGGCATGGTGCTCTAGAGGAAAGCCAGTGGCAGAGAGATGCTGACCACCCCAGAATGCTGAGAGGGCCCCAAATGTGTGGAATATTCTCTACATAGGCAGAGTGAAGCCATTAATATATGCAGCATCTGCTTTTTTGCTTCCTTATTTTTTCTCCCTTGGGGTGATGGGAATAGTGGGAGATTTCTGTTCTGGCATGGGCACCAGAGTTGGGGCAAGAAGTTGGCTTTGGTGAGGGAACTCCTGAGCTTAACTCATTCAGCTTGTTGACTGCAAATCAGTGTTGACTCAGTATGTACCTCTGCTCTCCATGGTAGGAAGTGCTTCTGCTTGTCCCTCCATGCTGGCTATCAAAGACAAGCCTATCAGGAATGTGTGTGTGTGTGTGTGTGTGTGTGTGTGTGTGTGTGTGTGTGTGTATGACTATGAGAGATAGAGTTAAAGAAATACATATGTAAATCTCAGTGTGGAGTTTCTCCCAGGCTGGGATCAGCATTATAGGGCATGGAGTTCCCTGAGGATGCAGAGGCCCTGTGTTTTCTCATAGAAAACCCCAGGGGCACAAGGCATGGACAGAAAGGTAAGGGGATCATAGGAGAATGAGAGGTGATGGAGGAGCCTCCTGGTGCCAACTTTGGCTAAAAATGGTGCTCCAGATATGCTTGAGTCCAAAATGAATGTTACCTGGGTAGATGGAGGATGGAGAGTAGATTGATGGATGGATGGAAGGATGGCTGGATGGATGGACTGAAGCATGCATGGGTAGATGGATGACTGATAGGTGGTTATATGGATGGATAAATAGTTAGGTGTGTGGGTGGGTGGATATTTGGGTGAACTGGTGGGTGAATAGATGATAGATAGATAGATAGATAGATAGATAGATAGATAGATAGAGAATGGATAGGTGAATGTAAGGATGATGGGTGAATAGATGAATGAATGGGTGAATGTATTGGGAGAACATAAAACCCTGATCTGGGAGAACATAAAACCCATAAAGAATGATGTCCCCAGACCTCAGAGAAGACTTATATCAGGACAACAATTTATTGATCTCAGCTTGTCCTGGAGCCAACTTCATTCACTAAGTATCTGCTGAGCCCAATGCTTGATGCTAGGCAGACATGGTCCCTGGCCTCAGGCCGACTGTGCCAAACAATTCAGGAAGGGACATGCTAGAGCCCATCCCAGGGACTGTTGGGGGCACAGAGCTCCTTACATCCCTTCTGTGGTTGATGCAAGGCTCAAAGGCATGGTTCTAGCTGGCTCTGTGGTCCCTGGGACAGTGACAACTACTCCACTGGGCACAAAAATAGAAAAGGACTTGAGGAGCAAACGCTCTGGATATAAACATTTCTGAAGATACAATGGGGAAATTTCTCCTTAGAAATTCTCTCCAAAGGGACATTGTCCAATTTTATGAGCCACATGCTGTCATTTAAACCTCTGTCCTCTGCCCTCCACAAGGTGATGTCCACAGCTTCTTCTTGCGGACAGGGCTAGCCAGTCAGGTATAGGTCCTGTGTCTAGAGCCAGGGGTGGTCTCCAGGCTGGGTCTTCTATGCCAGTCAGTAGACTGCCAGAAAGAAGGATGTGAGATGAGTCCAAAGGGTGAGCCAGTCAGCTTGTGTAAGGAAAACAGTATCCAAACATATGATTGCAGTGGGAAAGGAGCCAGAAATTTACAGTGGTGTGAAAGTACAGCAGACCTATATGTTAGCTAGGAAGAAGCAGATGTCTTAGGAGGTCTTGAAGCACCTTGACAGGTTGAGGGTGCTTGGGTGTACAAAAATGAGTGGTTCAGCAAGTGGCCGATGGGCAGGTAGTGACCCCAACTTGGAGTGATGCCAGCTCTCACTGCTGCAGGGCACCATTGTCTCCTGTGCGGGAGCCCACTTGTCCCTGTGGAATGTCAATGGACAGCCCCTGGCCAGCATCACCACAGCCTGGGGCCCAGAAGGAGCCATAACCTGCTGCTGCATAATGGAGCTGCCAGCATGGGACACCAGCCACATCATCATCACTGGAAGTCAAGACGGCATGGTCCGGGTAGGTGTGTCCCGGGCAGAATAAATGCATGGCATAGGAAACGTGTTCATCCCATTTGCTCACTTCCTCCAAGGATCCAAATCTGAAGGCTGCATTTGAGACCATTCCAGACCAGGTTCCCACAGCAAGTAAAGGCAAAGGCAAGCCTTTTTCTAGGCAAAAAGTAAATAAATAAAAATGTATATAACATATATATATAATATATAATAATTATATAAAATATAATTATATAGAATAATCATTATATATAATTATATGTAAATATATGTAGGTATATGTATGTATAGATACATAAATTTATACATACTTACACTCATATAGTGAAATAAACACTTATTATCACAAGGTGTGAAAGTTGAATGGTCAAATGCGTAAGAACAGAGCCCAGTGCTGAATAGAGATGTTTGGACCATACATTTATCCATCTACCCACTAATCCATCTACCCATCCAACTACTTATCTCTATACCTATCCATCCATCCATCCATCCATCCATCTATCCATCCATCCATCCATCTACACATCTACCCACCTACCCAACTCTTTGTCTGTTTCCTTCTTTCCTCCCTTCCTTCTATTCTTCCTTTCTTCCACACATATATCTTTTCTTACATCTATCCTTCCATCCATACATCTGTGAATCTATCCACTCACTCAACTATTTGTCCCTCCAACTATCCATCTATCCATCCATATAACATTCATTGAACACTGGCTCTGTGCCAAGCACTTCATAAGGCCACAGGGAACACAGAGATTAATGATAAACAGGCCATTGTCCTCAAGATGCTCCTATTCAAAAGGGAAGACAAGCAGAAAATACATGTATGTGGTTCATGCTATGACTGGGATAATCAGAGAGTGCCATGGAAAATCTGAGGAGGGCCACCAAGAGGGAAAGCATCAGGAAACTAAGAAGAGAAGGAAAAAGAGACATTGAGGTGGAAGGAATAGGATGGAAGAACAAAATATAGGTAATTTTTCTGAGACTGACAAAAAGGATGAAGGAATGAATAAAGATAAGGAATAATTAAGAGGCTTACTCAAAAACCCTCAATTGAATTCCATAGTTTATGAAAGGAACTGTTAATTAAATACTACAAAGTATTCAGGAAAATACCCTTGAAATTCTACAAGCATTTATGAAAAGCATGCTGTACTCTGCCATAGGTAAAACTTACCCTGCCCTTCAGGGGCCTCTACTCTTAGTCTCAGAATAAACATGGAGATGATGCTTCAGAAAGCAGAATGGATAAGATGTTGGGGATTCCAAGAGGGGAATGGATTTATTTCCAACAGAGAAACATCAGAGGAGGTGGCATTTCAGCTGAGTCCTGGGGTAAGAGAAGTCAAAGAGTATGGAGGAGGCCATGCAGGCTGAGGGGCCAGAGTGCATGGACAAGAGAGAAGAGGCTAAGGAGAGCCCCCTGAGAAGTCCCCTTCAGGACCCATCTGTGAGCTATGAGGGGCACAGAGTCTCTGTAGAGAGCACAGTGTCCTGGGCTGGCCGGGATGTGAGGAGATCACAAAGGGCTGGTCTTGGTGGGGTATATTTCATACCATGGGTTAGTCAGAGCAGCCTGGGCTGGCTGAGCAGCAGGTGCATTTCTGTCATGGGTGTACCCAGCATGAGTGAGAGTCTTTCATGTACTCAGCAGCCATTCATTCCGCCTGGTAATTGAGCTCCTGGTAGGGCCCAGTGCTGTGTAGACCTGGTGCAGAGATCCCAGAGGCTTTTAAGTGGAGACTGGTCCTTGTCCTTCAGCGACACAAAGTCCAGACTCAGCAAGAGAGAAGCCAGATGTGGCCAGCCTGAGGGCGCTCACATGCTTTGGGACCAAGGGCCAGACACAGAGGATGGGGAGGCCCAGCTGCTGAGTGGTGAGGGAGGACTCCAGGGATGATGACAGAGGGAAAGATGGCATTAGCTAAGTAAAATGAACCCCTTCCCTCAGGGTTCCCCAGGTATGAAGGAATGTGATGGGCCCTGAGCCTGCAGACAGGATCATTTCACCAGCCCATGATGTTTTCTCTTTTCTGGGCAGATCTGGAAGACTGAGGATGTGAACATGTCTGGCCCTGGGCGGACAGCACCAGAGGAGCCCTTGGCTCAGCCTCCAAGCCCCCGAGGTAACTGCCATGCTAAGGATGTGTGAGCATCCTTGCCTTGTTCAGCCCTCCCTCTCCTCTCCATCTCAACCCTAGGGCTGCAGTTCCCCCCTGGCCTGCAGAGCCCAGGGAGTCTCTGGGGGATGTTGCCAGGTGTTGGGGGGACAGGAGCATGGTTTACTGCAAGTTGCTAGTGGGTTGTGAAGAAGCATGGAGAAGCTCTATTGAGTTCCAGCCTCATCCTGCAGGGACCAGTTAGCTCAGGGGTGCTCCTTGGATATGTGAACAGTGGTAGTGGTGATTGTCAGGGTCTCCTGAGCATCAGGAGAGGGACACACCTTGCAGAGCTTGATTTGAGTCTCTCCATCTGCCTGGTTGACTCTTTGATGCCAAAGTCCTGGGTCCAGCTGGCTTCCTTCCTGGGCAGCCAGGCACAGACAGGAGCAGGGAGAGGCCTTGCTGTATCCCCAGTGAGAGGAAGTGGCTCCACAGGCCCAAGCCCACCCTGCTGATCTTGACTCAACCCACCCAATTCCCAGGGAAAGACTGGGGGTTGTTAGAATTTCCACGTCTAACAGTCCCCAGGTGAGTCTTATTGTGCCCCAATGTGAGAGAAGCACTGTTATAGAGCAGAACCCTCTCTGGGCTGTGGCAGATGGGGGCTGAAGTAAGAAAATCTGCTCTCCCTCCTGTCATCACAGCCTCACAGCCTCTGGCAGCACCTCCACAATCACTGCCATTGCAGAGCTGTGAGGGACAGAGCTGACCACGAGCAGTTCTACTGAGCACATGCACTCTCTCATTCTCCATGGTGACCCTATGAAGTAGGGATTACTATGACACCCATGCAAGAGACAAGGAAACTGAGGCATAGAGTGATTCAGTAACTTGCCCAAAGTTACCTAGAAGCATATTACTACTATCATTCTCACTTCTTCCACCAGAGCAGACGTAACCACTACCAAGATAACCTCAATCACAGATAATACCATGTAATCAGTGTCACAACCCCTACCAGACCATCTTCTCCACAGTGAGCACAGGCACAAATCTCACCATCAAAGCTATCACCTCCTTTTCTTCTCACCTCCCAATGCCCCACCACCACTGCCTCCAGGGCAGCCCTGCTGGTTTGCTCTGCATCGCGGGACCCATGGTCAACCACTGGAGAAAATTTTACAGATTGCTGAGGGCTGTCTTCTGAAAAGAGTAGCCATTTTCAATAAGTTCATTTCTAAAATGTACTCCACACCTCCTTAATGCGTGTAGTCACTGATTCATGGATTCTTTCTTCACACAAGCACAACTCAGACATTTGCTCAGCCCCTACTAGGTCCCAGGCTATACGTGCGAACCCCTTCCTTCAAGATAACTCCATCCGGGAGCCCTTGTCCACCATCTGGACTGACCCAGAGCAGTGAGCTCACAAGGATCTACAACCACATTCAGTTCACTGGTCATAGTATCTCCAGGGTCATTTAGGGCCACAAGGAACCAGCTTATCTCAGTGTAAAAGGCAAGATGCTGAGGCTTCTGCGTACTAAGGAACTCACAGCTTTTCAGAGATCAGGAGCCAAACGCCCTCCCCTATTCACACCTATTTGGAAGACAGTGAGCACAGAGTTCTTATTCTCCAGAGTGCTTCTGAAGCAGCTTTGCATTGCGCCTGCACGAGGGCACACCGCTTCAGTCCAGGGCGTAACTGCCCACTTCTGAAGCTCTCAAGGTCCGATAAGCTGAAGTCATTAGCTCAGCCAATGGTTGATGAATGGATGTCCGAGCAAGAGTGCTGGCTGGCTGGCTGGCTGGCTGGCTGGGTGGATGGAGGGACAGATGAACAAAGGGCACCTCAGAGACATTCCATTGGTTCTACTCAGGACCAAGAGCTGTGGTGGCTGTGTTCACTTGTAATGGGGTTTAGTGAGGTGAGAAGTGAGATGAAAAGCAGGAAACAAGGCACTAGACCCAGCTCTGTCCATAGCAACTTCTCTGGACCTCAGTTTCCCCCTCTGTCAAGTGGAGGTATTTCCTGTCTGCCCTAACTTGTAGTGAGCTAATGACAGAAAAATGATGGACATAGACAAGAGTCTACTCAATAAAATGCAGGTTATTATTATCATTTTCTCATACTTTGAAGAGACTGCTCCCCTAATACACTGGCTGATGATATTGAGGAACTTACAAGATGGCTTCAGGCCAACAGGAGCCCCAGGTCCACATGCTTCCTCTGCTATTTGTCACCACTGCCCCATAGAATTAATGGCCAGGGTTGTGGTTACAGTTCATAGGAGGATTAGGATGAAATGACAGGAGGACACAGAGATAGTCATAAAAATCAGATTGAGTCACAGCTTACAGTTAGCAAATCCATGTGCAGATTTACACTCCTAAGCCAGTGGAAGTCTTGTTCTCATAATATTGCTCAAAATTCTTTTATTGGAAAGGGACAGGTATTGGGCATGACACGTGGATATCTGCATATGTATCCTCTTGTTGTGTGTATTACTCCATCCCTCAAGTGTTGTAAGGGGCAAGAAAGGAGGTCTTTGAAGATATTAAAGATACTGCATTTGTATACACATGCAATCTAATTTTGCCTGGAATTCCTTTGTCATTTGCACCAGGACCAACCCAGATGAGTACATTTTAGGAACCATCCCATAGATTTGGGCTCAGTCTGGTATATAAGAAGTGCTGGTTGTTTGGGCTTTTCCACAGACACACAATGCACATGCATTTCCTGGTGCACAGGCCTTTTGGCACACATAAGGGGCCACCCCAGGACAGCCAGGGCAGCCACATGATCCCTGCCCTGACTCCAACTGACTGAATTCACAGGGATGTCTCTCCATCTAACTCTCCACGTTGAAGGAATTACTGTCTGTCCCCAAATGCAGTCATTAAAATGAGTGAAGTAACAATCATTGAGTTACATTTTTTGAAAAAACATTCTCAGCATTTAATTATTGGTTGTGGCGTGAGAGGATTTAGATAAGTTGATAATGCCGACTTTATGTAATTTATTTTTACTAGGCAATTACAGGCTGCATTACATCCTGGCAGCAAGGTATTGTGGGGCATCTTATTAAGCATAAAGCCAGTAAACACTGATGAACAATTTTGCTGAACTAGGCATGCAATTTAGAAAGCAATAATACACAAATCCAATTTGGTACACAATGGATACCGCAGCACGTCAGCACATGTAACTATCACAGCCTGCAAATTAAATTGGGACAGCCCTTTTTGCAACAGCACAGGCCAAGATTAAATATATTTCCCCCCTCAATTTAACAAGTTGCTGACCACAAATATAAATATGTGTGTGTGTTTTGGGCCCCATGTGCGGATGTAACGTACATGTGTGTGAAGGCTCCTGGGTTTTCTAACTATGTTCTCACATGTTCCCCACAGGTCACAGGTGGGAGAAGAATCTTGCCCTGTGCAGAGAGCTGGACGTCAGCGTTGCTTTGACAGGGAAGCCCAGTAAGACCAGCCCTGCAGTGACCGCTCTAGCCATGTACAGGTAATGAAGGCTTGGCTTCTCCAGGCTCCCAGAAGAGGGCGCTGTGGCCGCCCCTAGGAAAGTCCAGGCTCTTGGCTCAGGGTGGCCTCTCTATGGGGAGCTAGTAGGGCCCACCATGTACAGGGTTCAGGTGAGGTGGCCCTGTAGGGTCCTAGGAAATGTTTCTTAACACACACATGTTCTTGCTCTCTCTCATTGAATATCCATGAATTCATAAAGAAATCCAAAATGTAAAAGTATATTGCTTTGTTGATTTAATCCTAGAGAGACCCTTTCCTGAGGTCCACTGCTGACTGTAACATTTGGGGTGATGGTTATCCTACATTATAGAAAATGCCCTTTGAGGGCTCTAATTCAATGTAGAATAGTTAAGTGTCAGATGCTACACAGGGGCCAGCTGCAGCTCTCACAGGACTAGAGGCTCCTGGAGATGCCAGAGGAGAAAGTCAGGAACTCACCCAGCCCTGGAGACTCCAATTCTTGGAATATCCACTCAGTGCTTTGGGAGCCACAACCTCAGAGTTCCCCTAGGTCAACACATTCCCCAGTTTTCCCTCTCCCTCTGCCTGCCACAGGTGGAGGCAAGGTTCAGGATCCATGGGGTCCTGGACTGAACCCCCATGTTGCATTTTTCTGAGTGCCAGATAGGATAAGCAGGACTCACAGGCTTGTGTCTAAAACTCCTGTCTATTCTTTCTCTTCCCAAGAAACCAGACCAAACTCCTGGTTGGCGATGAGAAGGGGAGAATATTCTGCTGGTCTGCAGAAGGGTAGGAAGAAAGAGACAATGGAGGTCCTGGCATAGCAGCTGTGAGCAGCTGCACCAGGTGGAATGCAGGCTGACACAGTGCTGGATGCAAAGGAAACCCCAGGGCCTCGCTTCCTCATGGCCTCTGAGGACAGGGCTGGCTAGCCATCAGAGCTCCACACCCTGAGCTCTCGCCATGGCCCATGGGACTTTGGCCTTGGATTGTATAAGGATGCATTTTACAAAATGAATAAGAGCTCACATGGGGGCCTGAGCACTGAAAGCCGAGACTCGCTGATGCTGCCTGAACACGAAATCACACACGACTCACCTTTTCAAAGGGTTATTGCACTGGGAAAAAAAAAAATCCGGTCTCTTACTGGAAACTAATGGGAAACATTGTATTGTCTTAATTTTATTAAAGCAATGATTATCCAAATGCAAGAGAGCTCTTGAGTTTTAAAATCGCCACCCTCTTCCACTCAGGTACTCACATCTCTACTCTTAGAGGGCAAGAAGGCGTCAGGGAAGCACCGCCCTCCTTCAGAGCATTCCTCAACCTCCTGAAACCTGGCTCCTCCCCTTGTCTTGCCAGCCGGACAGGGTCTCATGGGGAGGGAGGGGCCACACTCAGAAGCCCAGTTTCTGTGGCTGGGGCACAGGACAGGGACATGAGGCTGCCCATTGCAGGCATAGGGAAGTCAGCCTGGGGGACACCCCACCTGGTCCTACCTGCCTCCAGTTCACACCCCATAACAGGTGGTGGTGGGTCCCAGCCAGGTTCAGGCTTGGTAAGGTTTTCCCAGGGCCCATCCTTACATGGAGGTCAAGGGCCACAGTCCACATGCTGATTTTGAGTTGGAGCTCATCCTGGGAAAATCTGGATTGCTCTGTGACTTTTGTTCTCCATTTGAAAATACATGGCAGGTGGGTAGTTAGCCCCTCTGAGGAGTCCCAGTACCATCCAGTGCCTGGGTCACTCCTGACTCTGTTGTTGGGCACTGAAGGCTTCACCCTCACTCTAATGTCTTCTCCCCACCCCAGCCTTTCAGGACTTCTTGAAGAAAATGAAACCATGCTCAGGTGGCAACACAGGGACTTGGGGTGGCTAAGCTCCTTAGTGTTACCTTCCCTCCTAGAGTCTTTCCTTCTAGGGAATCCTAATCCTTTCCATATTTCTATAAGCCCCACAGAGGCCCCAATGGCTGACCCCACCCAATTTAGCTCAGGCCCAGGGATGGCAAGAAAATGGACTCCATGGCACATGGCCTGGGCCATCTGGCCTCCCGGGGGCAGTGAGTCAATTTAAAAATAAAAGAAAGCAGAAATGATATGCACCTATGTCCAAAATAGGGAGTGAGAGGTGGTTAGGAAATCATAATCTATCTGTCAACTTTGAGGTCTTTACAAAGGAGAAGATGGAGCAGGACACACATCTCAGGTCCAGGGCTCCACCCCTTGGTTAAAAGGGCTGACCCTGGGGCCAAGGATCAACCATCCTCTGCACTGTCTGCGTGAGCTATTAGCAGATGGCCCATTTGCAGTTTCCTGGGCCGGGGGTCTGCACCTGAGGACTATAAATTGAAGAGCCTAGAGCACCACTCCCCAGGAAGGCCGAGAAGCAGGGTCATAAATATCATGGCTGGGCCGGCTGTCATGTTTCAAAACACGATTCACAGCATTTGCCCAAGGCTGAAAGGTCTGCTGGCCCAAAGGCTCTCTTGGGCACATTCATTTGAAAAGCATTTCCTGAGCACTGCCTTTTCCTCCCCCTAATCAGGGGAAAAACGGGGGGTTGTTGTCAGTTCTAATTCCGGGTCCTGTGAAAAAAAAATTACTTGGATGTGAAGAGCGAACGGGAGCAACATCTCACACCCTAGGGAAGGCACAGTGGTCTTCGGGCTGTATTCCTTTGCTCAGCCACCATAACAGGACCACAGGCTAGGCAACTTCAACAACAGAAAGTTTTCTCATAGTTCTTGAGGCTAAAAGTCTGAAATCAAGGAGTCAGCAGGGCTGTTTTTATCTGAGGCCCCTCTCCTTGACGTGTAGATAGCCCTCTTCTGCCTGTGTCCTCACGTGTCTTTCCTTTATAACTGTGTCCATATTTATTCTTTTTATAAGAGTTCCAGTCAGATTGGATTAGGTCCCACCCTAATGATGTCATTTTAACTTAATTACCTCCTTAAAGAAGCTATCTCTAAATATGGTCACACCCTGAGATACTGGGGATTAGAACTGGAACAAATCAATTTTAGAGGGACACAGTTCTCCCCATAGCACTAGCTGAAGGAGGTGGTCCTGGAGCAGATCTGGGGGGCAGCTGTGACTTGGCCTTGCTGAGGTAGAGAGTAGAGTATTATAGGGACAGAGGACAGCATTGGCAAAGACGAGGACACATGAGCAAAGATGGAGGGCAAGGTGGAGGCTGAGAGGAGGAGAGGCCGTTGCTTCGGGCCTGTGAGGACTCCAGGCTGGTGACGGGGCAGGACGGGTGGGAGTGAGGGGTCACAGATGGAGCTGTGTTCCCAGGGCCCAGCGCACAGAAGATGCCCCACGAGTGCTGCTGAAGTATATAGATGTGCGGATGGGTGAGTGAATGGTCATGGCGGCAAACATTTCAGAGTTAGTGGTTCTGAGTGATGGCAGGTCCAGGCAGCAGCCCTTCCATGGGTGGGAGGAAGCGAAATGAAGTGAAGAGATTCGAGGGATAGGTAGGGTGTCGTGGTCTGGGCACAGGAGGTAGCTGGGGATGATGCTAGCAGCCTGGCGTGAACTAGCTGATGCCGTCCATGGAGCTAGGAGGAGGCATCTGTGGGAGCAGGAGAGGACAGTGGGCAGAGTGCCCCAAGGAGGAGGCAGACGGGGAGTGGAGATGAAAGGCTCACTGTTAGGGTGCTCCAGCATCTGTCAGGGAAGTTTCAGTGACTGCCTGGTAGCCGTCGCTTTCCCTGTAGCCCCAAAGCAAGGGCCTGGCGTTTCACCAGGGCCTCTGGGCACTCCTCCAGGGCCAGCTCTCCATTACCTGGAGGAGAAAAACTGCCCTGCACGCAAATCCAGAGGGAGCAGGCACACCCAGGTCCCTCACTGCTGACCTCAACCAACTGTGGGCTCCAGTGGAGTTAGGAACAGAGACTGCCAGGGGGACAAAGAGAGCAGGCCCAGGATCGGGGCAAGGAGAGAAACCCCAGGTCGAGAGTCTAAAGGCTCTCGGCAGCTCAGGGGACACGGGGCTACTGTTGGCCTCAGTATTTCAGAAGCAGCCAGCATGGACTGGGGTCCCTGATGCTTGTCAGTGATGGATAGAAGTCCAGGGAAGAGGCCCGAGGGGTGGGGAGGGGAGGGAGAGAGCAGGCTCAGCACCAATGTCCCCAGCAGAGGGTTAGCCAGGGCAGAAGCCAGGAGCTCTGGCTGCCTGGACCCAAGTACGAGAGCCACGTGCATGTAGGCCTGCCAGCACCCCAAGTCCAGAGGGGGTGAGGATACCCCGGAGCATGAGCTGTGCCGAGCTGGGTAGCCACAGCTTGGTATCTGGAGAGCAATGTGAAGACAGGAATGTGCAGTGAGGGTCACAGATCAAAGCAGTACCAGGGGCCAAGCAGCCTGAGCTCCATTCCCAGTGTCCCCACTTCCTGCCAACAGCAGCCTCAGTTTATTTATCTGTAAAATCAGTGTCTACCTGATGGCTTAAATTAAAATCATATCTGTTTATTTTATGGAGGGATGAAGCAAATGATAGTCTGCCTGTCCCTGACACAATGCAATCTTTTAATATATCACTTATTCATTCGCTCACCAGTAATTTTTCTAGCTGAGCCAGGACCTGTGGGTGGAGAAACTCCCTGCTTGGGCTGGGACAGCGACAGAGGAAGCGAGACAGAGGGTGGCCAGGCTGGAGCAGGAGGCTCACACAGGAATGGCAGTGCTTTGGGAGAGTCCAGAGCACAGCATGCCTCAGGCTCCCAGTTCCTTCCACGGAACCCAGATCCACTGGCTAGAGCAGAAGCCACTGTATGAATGTTTGACACCCTCCCAGTGATGTTGATGTGGCTCCAAAGCCCCCACTTGGAGATACTCAGGAGTAGACAATGACAGGACAGGGTGAGGATGGGGGCATTTGCCCACTGCTGCCCACCTTGCCGTCTCAGGACAGGTGAGGGGCTCCCCAGGCCTCAGGGCTCAGGGACACCCGATTCCACTCACTCTCGCCAGCTCAGCCTGAGGCCGTAGCCAGGCCCAGCTCTCTCCTAGCTGAGCTCTCCTCATCACAGCATAATAACTGTGAGACCGTCTCCACCTGGACCTCACCACTGTGATGACTGAAGACCCTAGCCCACCTCCACCAGCATTGCAACAGACATTGTTCCTACCCCGGGATGTTCTCAACTGTCTTCACCATTCTACACAGATGCTGCTTTCCCACCAAGTCATCATGGTCACGCTCCCCCTGGCATCTCTGTGTGCTCTGAGCTCTGGGGAGGGAAGCCAGGGCCCTGGAAGCCACTGGGGACAGCGAGTGCCTTCCCCTGAGCTCTGCCAGCAGCCGGGAGCCGAGTCCTGAGAGCCTGGCCCCAGAGCCTGCAGAGAACTCGAGACTGAATTTGACCACATTAACATGCAGCCAAGCAGTCCACATTTGGGGAGAAATAGGCTCTTCATATAAAAATCCTGATGAAATTTGTTTAGCATAAAATCAAATCTGTCTAAGCCCAAATCAGTTTTGCTTTAGTAAGTTCTGGGGACACATGACAGGCCGCAATCCTCTGTGTGTGTGTGTGTGTGTGTGTGTGTGTCTGTGTGTGTGTCTGTGTGTGTGTGTGCATGTTTCCATTTCACTCTAGCTGCTGTTGCAGCACCTTCATAGCCTTCTTAATAAACAGGATTCTCCAAATTGCCTCCTTCTCCCAAATCTCTGAAAGCCCAGAGAACACTGTTGCCCTGTACTGAGATCTGTCTGCCCCCAAACTGGTTGATAGAGACATTGCTTGTACAAAACCCTTTACTGCCATGTGCCAGGATTGCGTTGTTATAAATAAGCCACTCTGCAATGACTCAGAGTGGTCAGTGCCCCCAGAGCTGTGCAGTGCACACACCACAGCCCTGCCGTCTTCACCCAGGCATCAGGCACTGACTGGCTCTCACTGACATTAGAATGACGGCTTACTTTACCTATCCATCCCTGCAATTGTTCATTCATTCATTCACTCATTCATTCATTCACTCACTAGCATTGCCAAAGGATCCACTGAGTGTCTGTTCTGAGCCAGAGTGAGACCCAGTGGAGAGAGGCTGAGTCTGAACACAGACACCAGAAACTTAACCCCAAGAGCTTGTGGTCATCGGAGGTGACATAGACCCTCTAACTCTGCCACTTCACAGATGGAAAACTGGGGTCCAGAAAAGGGACTTGTCTAAGGTCAATAGCAGAACCTGGTCAAGGTTTC